GACCTATCCTTTCCCTAGTCTTAGTACGATATAACTGAAAAAACCCTTTAGGATTTGTCTTTGCTTGCCCTGCTATGCGAACTTCATAGTTTCTTTTTGCTTTCCTTATCTCTTTTTTAACATTTCTAACCAGTTGTACGAATTCCTGTTCTAAAGTGACCTCCCCATTTTTAATCCTTTTGTACCAAGCTCTCTTTTTACCTATAAGGTTCTTCAAATTCTTTGTTATCCACTTTGGGTCATTAGTATACGATCTATTCAATTTGTATGGTATACTACGTTCCTGTGCTTTGTTTAGAATATTCTTAAATAAGTTATATATTGAATCCACATCGAAATCCCCATTTAAGTCACCTATCGCTGGGTTCATGTCTCGCTCCAAGACCGGCCCACACCCCATACCCAAGCCTTTCCAATCAATTTGACCCAAAAAATTTCTTAGGCTATTAAAATCAGCTTTTCGAAAATCTGGCACTTTAACAGAATTTTCTCCTACTGGTCTATTCCATTCTATGCTAAATCTGATTTCTTTGTGATCACTGCTCCCTAGCTCACTCCCTATTTCGATGTCATTAATTTGCGTTTCCCTGTTAGTTAACACTAAATCTAAAATATTATTTTCCCGTGTTGGTTCCTTAATGTGTTGCGTAAGAAAGCAATCGTCAATTAATTCTAGAAAATCTTCTGCTTCACTATTCCCTGTTTTGTTCAACCAGTTTATTCCGCTAAAATTAAAGTCACCCATGACATAAATACTGTTAGATCTAGATGCTCTAGATATTTCATCCCATAGATGCTTTGCTTCCATTCTGTCTAAATTTGGTGGCCTATATATTACTCCTATTATAATATTATTAGCTTTTTCGTTTAATTCAATCGTTTAATTATGTTCTTGTATATAATGTGGGTCGTTGTTTAATAAAGAGGGGGAGGGAGTTATCAAGGGAAAGCGCCAAGCCATGTCGGCTAAATAGCCCTTAGAAGTGGGGGGGTCAGGATAGGAAGGGGGGGGGGAGGGAGAGTGATTTCTGAGCAAGGCGGAGAACCGTGGGGGAGAAGCCTCATCACTAGTCATGACCTGTTCTGGTTGGACTGGTCGGCACATGAGAGCCTACAACATTGGGCAGATGGCGGACTTACCGTTATCTACAAGGCCAAAGTTCCTCATCTTGCCTAACTTCATTGACAACCTCAGCACAAAGCGCTCAGCAACCGTAAAGTTGAGTACATCGTAAAGGAAGAATAGGGCATAAATGGGGGAAGGATAAGGGACGAAGCAAATACAAAGATTAATCAGGTGTAGTGGGCGTGGAATGTTGAGGAGTGTCTTCTATGTTGGCATCTTCACGTTCCGGTCTTGTTCCCTAAACGTGCATAATAACGTGACTACGGCACCATTGATAGTTTATAGGGACTGGTCAGTCCTGGTGCTTATTAACGAAGCTCCACGACTGATCAACCCCCGACGACACTCATAGATCCATTTGGGTAAAGTTTTTCATCAAATTCTGGCGCAAGCACGGGGCCAGGCGCTGAGTTTACAAATGGGAGAAAGACTGAATAATACAAAGGGGTGATACAAATTGATGAATTTATAGATAGAGCTAGTACATACAATGCCTAAAGCCACTATTACGCAAAGCGTTTCACTAAGAACTCTTTATTTGACCCGTCCAGGATCACCCCTTTATGGGCGCTTTTACTTTTGGTTCTTTCCCCTTAAAATTCCCTCCCGCCTTCATCAAAGAACGACCCACATTACATACAAGAACATAAGAATTAAGAATAAAGGAAACTGCTGAAGGTTTATTATTGACCCATACGTGCAACTACTATTTATATCTACCAATTCATATTCATGTCTAACCTAAGCTTGGAACATTCAACTGATCTCACGTCTATTATGTTATCTGGTGATTTGTAGAGCAACGGTCTTGCTTCTTGCAGGTCGGTGTTCAATCCCGGACCGTCCATGTGGTTGGGCACCATTCATCCCCCTCCGTCCAATTCCAAATGCCACTCAGTCCTCCCCCCCCCCCTCGGTGTAGAGTACGAGTGCCACTCAGCAGCTGGAAGATTGGTATAAACGAGTGCATGCGCATACACGTCAACAAGTACACCTAGAGAGTGCATTGAGGTGCAGGATGCAGGTGAGGGGTCAAGGACCCATCCAACGGGAATGTTGTCTAACCCTCTCGCTCCCTCGTCTGCTCCCATCCCCTCACCCTACCCAGTGCTTGTCTCTCAGTACTTACCTATTGGGGGGTAGAAATAGCCTAAGCTACTCTATCCCTTTGAGATGTATTTATTGCTTATCTCAATAAACATACTTGAACTTACCTATTAGTGCCTACAGGGGAGTGAGCTCTAGCTCTTCATTTCCTCACTGTACTACTAGCCTTGTTGTACCTCTTGACTTATAATTCTTGTCGAATCTTGTCTTAACGTTGTGGCTGGAGGTGGCTTCCACAACTTCTTCCTTCAGGGCATTCCTCTGGTTGACCTCGTGGATCTTCTCGTGCATCTCGTACTAGAAATACTCGTACAGGGTACGAGTACGAGTTTATATTTATCCGACTCATCTGTGTTTCCAGCTTCCACTTGTGTCCTCTTGTCCTACTGTCTCTGTTTAGAGGCTGTCCGTGTTCACCTTGTCTATTTCCCCCCCCCCCTCAGTATCTTGTATGTTGTGATCATATTTTCTTTGTTTACTATGTCCTCCAGGTTCTGGACGACGTAGTAAATAATTTAAGATTTAAGTAATCTTACGTGTACCTGATAACGTAAAGTTTATATTCAGCTTGTATTACCGAACAGTGGTGATTACCTTACCTAATTACCAGTGCTTACCTAACAGTGCTTACCTAACGGTGCTTAACTAACGGTGCTTACCTAAAGTCTTTATTTAGGGTTTTAAATTCCGTTGATGTGTGTTAGCTTGCTCTATGTGTGGATGTTACTGTGTTGTGTGCGTCCGGTGGTGGTGGTGGTGTGGTGGTGGTTGTTCATGTCTCCTTACACACATTTTATCTGTCAAATTCCTATAGTTGTCTTCCCCCCCTCATGGTATAGATACTTTCTGCCCTCATTTCTCCCTTTTCCATCTACATTACCTTACACTTTTGGGGGGATTACATTCTAGTAACCATTTGTCGGCATCTAGTAACCATTCTGAGGTTTGTTAAGGGTTTCATGTAATTCTGTTGTATATACCGTCTGACCTTTTCCATTTCCAATCTTCATTACCTTACACTTGTTGTAAATTAACTCTAACGGCCATTTGTGTTCCAACTACTTGAGTTTGTCAAGATCTTCCTGTAATTTTCTGCAGTCCTCAGTTTTTATATTCGTCATTAGCTTTGTGTAGTCTGTAAACACTGGCATATACGAGCTTAATCACTTAGGGAGGTTATTAATATATATTACGAACAGCAATGGTCCTAGGACCGTGGTGTGGTGGTGTGGTGGTGATGTCGCAGGTAGTGTGGTGGTGGTGGTGTTGACACTGATAGACAGTGTCAACGTGCAGGAGAGGTCTAGTTCACTGTGCCCCGCCTACTGGCCTTGCTCTACCTGTTGCGTTGTAAATTAAGTATTTTGACGTTTGAATTCTTAGTTGAATCTGGCCCTAAAGTTATGGCTGGAGGTGGCTTCCACAACGTCTTCTTTCAGTTGATGCTACTGGTTGACCGCCTGTACAGGGTACAAGTATTTCCTTACATTTCTTCGACTCATTTGTGTTTCCGGCTCCCACTCCTGTTCTCTCGTCCCACTTTCTCTCACTTTAAAGTGGCTGTCCTTGTCCACTATTTCTGTTCCCTTCGGTATCCTGTATGTTGCTGTCATGTCTCCTCTGTTTCTTCTCTCCCCCTAGAGTTGTGAGGTTTAGTTAATTTAACCTGTCTTCATAGTTCAGCCCCCTTGTCTCTGGCACTGGTCTTAGTGCAAACCTTTGTACTTCTTAAATTTTGATTTTATGCCTCACATGGTGTGGATTCCAGACCGGTGCTGCATAGTCCGGTGTAGAGTGCCATGAAACAGCCCTGGTTTAGGTTTCTCAATGACGGTGTAATGTTTGGCAGCGTCCCATGTGCTGCTGATGTTACCGTGTGTGTGTGTACCTCTGGAAATTGTGTTGGAATTACATCCACTCCCAAATCGTTTTCTCCCTACGACTATTGTAGATACCTTTATGGTGTAGACGCTTTCTGGGTTCGGTCCCATCTGTATTACTTTACACGTATTGGGTCGCCCTGTAACGCTCGGCGCTCCTCTTCTGTTCTGACGCCTCATTAGCGCTGCAACCATTGACATATACCATCTCGCTCCCTCGGGGGAGGTCATTCATATTAGGAACAGAAGATACTAGAAGGAAGGAGGCAGTTATCAGGAGGAGCGCCAAGCCATCACGACTATACAGCACTGGGAAGGGGTCAGGATAAGGATTTGGGATGGGACGGGGGAAAGGAATGGTGCCCAACCACTTGGACGGTCAGGGATTGAACGTCGATCTGCATGAAGCGAGACCGTCGCTCTACCGTCCAGCTCAAGTGGTTGGGCAAGAGAAGATACCTGGAAAAATGCCAATCTTATGTAATCTTACAAACTCTTGTACCTTCTTGTAAATAATAAATTATTATTATAATTATAAGAGGTCTCAGGACCGACCCTTGTGGGACTCCTCTTGGTTCCTTCCTCCACTCAAAACGATCTTTCTGACTACGAGTCTCTGTTTTCCGTCCTTCAGGTAGTCCCTTATCTAGTTTAGTGTCTTGTCAGTTATCCCAGCTGACTTCTAACGCTTGGGTACGGTCTTTCACGAGGGACACCATCAAGTGCTTCTTGACAGTCTAGGAATATACAGCCTTTTTTTTCCTGTTGTGTAGCAGGCAGTGTGGTGGTGGTGTGGTGTTGGTGGTGGAGGTGTGGCAGTGGTGGAAGTGGTGTGGCAGTGGTGGTGGTGTGGCGGCGGGTCGCTGGGGTTGAGAGTGGCAGGCGGGCAGGCAGGGGCACAGTGTGGCGTGAGGAGTGACGGAGAGAGCACCGGAACACACCTCAGCAGCGTCCTGACTCTCAGGTGTGTGGTGGAGCAGTGTTGGAGAGGACACACCGCGTATCCCAGCACCAACACACCGCCACCAGTGTTGCAGGACTCCCGACTCCGCTAACCAATTATCCGGTGTCCCAATTCGGTTATTAAAACACGATTCGACACCAGACAAAAAAAGAATCGGTTAGAAATATCATTTTTTTTTTGTTTTGAAAACCGCCAGAGGCAGACCAAACGTGTTGCAAGCCGCACCCAGGTGGATCACGCGGACCTGGATCTTGTAGGAGGATTAGACGGATCTCCCAGAAGGATCTCTCGGAAAAATCTCCCAGACGGATCTCCACGAAGGATCTCCCAGACGGATCTAGAAGGATCTTCCAGAAGGATCTAGAAGGATCTCCCAGACGGATCTAGAAGGATCTCCCGTACGGATCTAGAAGGATCTCCCGGACGGATCTAGAAGGATCTCCCGGACGGATCTAGAAGGATCTCCCGGACGGATCTAGAAGGATCTCCCGGACGGATCTAGAAGGATCTCCCGGACGGATCTAGAAGGATCTCCCGGACGGATCTAGAAGGATCTCCCGGACGGATCTAGAAGGATCTCCCGTACGGATCTAGAAGGATCTCCCGTACGGATCTAGAAGGATCTCCCGGACGGATCTAGAAGGATCTCCCGGACGGATCTAGACGGATCTCCCGGACGGATCTAGAAGGATCTCCCGGACGGATCTAGAAGGATCTCCCGGACGGATCTAGAAGGATCTCCCGGACGGATCTAGAAGGATCTCCCGGACGGATCTAGAAGGATCTCCCGGACGGATCTAGGATCTCCCAGACGGATCTAGGATCTCCCGGACGGATCTAGAAGGATCTCCCGTACGGATCTAGAAGGATCTCCCGGACGGATCTAGAAGGATCTCCCAGAAGGATCTAGAAGGATCTCCCGGACGGATCTAGAAGGATCTCCCGGACGGATCTAGGATCTCCCAGACGGATCTAGGATCTCCCGGACGGATCTAGAAGGATCTCCCGGACGGATCTAGAAGGATCTCCCGGACGGATCTAGGATCTCCCAGACGGATCTAGGATCTCCCGGACGGATCTAGAAGGATCTCCCAGACGGATCTCGAAGGATCTCCCGGACGGATCTAGAAGGATCTCCCGGAAGGATCTGTCACATCCTGGGCGCATCCTTCACCCCCTCAAACTCCCCCTAACAAGGGGCGTGACACAGGTTGGTGTGTTTTTGTCACAGTATTTTGTTATGCACACCTTGGCTCACCTTGGGTTCACTCTGTCATACGTCGGTGTTCATTATGTCGTGCACTGGTGTTCACTGTCAAGCGTCGGTGTTCGCTGTCAAGCGTCAGTGTTCGCTTGTCAAGCGTCGGTGTTCACTTGTCAAGCGTCGGTGTTCGCTTGTCAAGCGTCGGCGTTCGCTTGTCAAGCGTCGGCGTTCGCTTGTCAAGCGTCGGTGTTCGCTGTAAAGCGTCGGCGTTCGCTTGTCAAGCGTCGGCGTTCGCTTGTCAAGCGTCGGTGTTCACTTGTCAAGCGTCGGTGTTCACTTGTCAAGCGTCGGTGTTCGCTGTAAAGCGTCGGTGTTCACTTGTCAAGCGTCGGTGTTCGCTGTCAAGCGTCGGTGTTCGCTTGTCAAGCGTCGGCGTTCGCTTGTCAAGCGTCGGCGTTCGCTGTAAAGCGTCAGTGTTCACTGTCAAGCGTCGGTGTTCACTTGTCAAGCGTCGGTGTTCACTGTCAAGCGTCAGTGTTCACTGTCAAGCGTCAGTGTTCACTGTCAAGCACCAGTGTTCACTGTCAAGCACCAGTGTTCACTGTCAAGCACCAGTGTTCACTGTCAAGCACCAGTGTTCACTGTCAAGCACCAGTGTTCACTGTCAAGCACCAGTGTTCACTGTCAAGCACCAGTGTTCACTGTCAAGCACCAGTGTTCACTGTCAAGCACCAGTGTACACTGTCAAGCACCAGTGTTCACTGTCAAGCACCAGTGTACACTGTCAAGCACCAGTGTTCACTGTCAAGCACCAGTGTTCACTGTCAAGCACCAGTGTTCACTGTCAAGCACCAGTGTTCACTGTCAAGCACCAGTGTACACTGTCAAGCACCAGTGTTCACTGTCAAGCACCAGTGTTCACTGTCAAGCACCAGTGTTCACTGTCAAGCACCAGTGTACACTGTCAAGCACCAGTGTTCACTGTCAAGCGCCAGTGTTCACTGTCAAGCGCCAGTGTTCACTGTCAAGCGTCAGTGTTCACTGTCAAGCGTCAGTGTTCACTGTCAAGCGTCAGTGTTCACTGTCAAGCGTCAGTGTTCACTGTCAAGCGTCAGTGTTCACTGTCAAGCGTCAGTGTTCACTGTCAAGCGTCAGTGTTCACTGTCAAGCGTCAGTGTTCACTGTCAAGCGTCAGTGTTCACTGTCAAGCGTCAGTGTTCACTGTCAAGCGTCAGTGTTCACTGTCAAGCGTCAGTGTTCACTGTCAAGCGTCAGTGTTCACTGTCAAGCGTCAGTGTTCACTGTCAAGCGTCAGTGTTCACTGTCAAGCGTCAGTGTTCACTGTCAAGCGTCAGTGTTCACTGTCAAGCACCAGTGTTCACTGTCAAGCGTCAGTGTTCACTGTCAAGCGTCAGTGTTCACTGTCAAGCGTCAGTGTTCACTGTCAAGCACCAGTGTTCACTGTCAAGCACCAGTGTTCACTGTCAAGCACCAGTGTACACTGTCAAGCACCAGTGTACACTGTCAAGCACCAGTGTTCACTGTCAAGCACCAGTGTTCACTGTCAAGCGTCAGTGTTCACTGTCAAGCACCAGTGTTCACTGTCAAGCGTCAGTGTTCACTGTCAAGCACCAGTGTACACTGTCAAGCGTCAGTGTACACTGTCAAGCACCAGTGTTCACTGTCAAGCACCAGTGTACACTGTCAAGCACCAGTGTACACTGTCAAGCACCAGTGTTCACTGTCAAGCACCAGTGTTCACTGTCAAGCACCAGTGTTCGCCCTGCTCGTCACTGTAGAGACGTTAGCACATATTTATATACAAATTAGCGTGGAGAAAAAAACTAATGGAAAAACACAAAACATGAGAATAATGAGTAAACAAAGAGAGAGGGGCGAGGCGCGGGGGTTAATCCTTGACTTGTAACGACGCAAATACCTCGTGATCTTTTACAAGCATGTAGGCTGGTAGGCCAGGTTTTTGTCCCCCCTCCCCCCTCTCTCTTTGTTTCTCTGTCTGTCTCTGTCTCTCTCTCTGTCTCTCTCTGTCTGTCTCTCTGTCTGTCTCTCTCTGTCTGTCTCTCTGTCTGTCTGTGTGTGTCTCTCTCTGTCTCTCTCTATATCTCTATATCTCTCTCTCTCTATCACACACAAACACACACACACACACACATTAATAAATGAAACTGATTCCATACACAGTTTCAAGTGTAGATAAGATAGAGCCCAGTAGGCTCAGGAACCTGTACACCTGTTGATAGACGGTTGAGAGGCGGGAGCAAAGAGCCAGAGCTCAACCCCCGCAAGCACAACTAGGTGAGTACACACACACACGTACGTAAATAAAAATTCTGTATACTACAATAAATTATTATGCTTGTTTCAATATCATCTTTTCTTTATTGCCATTCTTCATTTTTTATTGAAAATTCCTCTATTTGCCCTTTCACGATGGCGTTTTTATAGACCTTGTTGATCCTGTTTACACTTCCCTGCTCAGGGCCAGAAGTCATCACTTACGCAACACTTACGAAGCCTCTCCATCTTTCCTTAACTGAGAGGGCTTTGTTTACATTTATTAATCGGCTTATGAGCTTGTAAACTTCTCAACCCAATGTTATTGTTATAACATTGTAGTGCTGCCCAGCACATGAACTGAGGGCTTGTTTACATTCAGTAATTGAATGTAAACAAAGCCGCCAAGGGAGAGGAAAGATATACAGGTTTCGCAAGGAGACATGTTTATATCCTTAATGACTCATGGTTCAATATATACGGGAAACCTGTTGACGGCTCCGTCTTCCCTGTCTGAGGCCATCAACTGACTCTTCAGAGATTAAATGATTCGGGATGACTTGCTGATGGATTGTTAACTAATCAGATATTGAGGTTCTTGTCTCGGACGGCTGTTCACTTGTTAGTCCAAGCTTGTGCACCCCTTGGACGGCGGTCAACCTGTCAACCTCAGCTTGTACTGCCTGTGGATGGCGGTCCCTTCTGCCAGACTAAGCTTGTACGTCCACCTGGAAGATGGTCAGGTTATCTTGAGATGATTTCGGGGCTTAGCGTCCCCGCGGCCCGGTCCTCGACCAGGCCTCCTTTTTCTTGCACACCCCCAGGAAGCAGCCCGTAGCAGCTGTCTAATTTCCAGGTACCTATTTTACTGCTAGGTAACAGGGGCACCAGGGTGAAAGAAACATTTTGCCCATCTGTTTCCGCCTCCACCGGGGATCGAACCCGGAACCTCGGGACTACGAATCCGAAGCGCTGTCCACCCAGCTGTCAGGCGTCCATTGGCCCACTCTACTTACCCATCAGTGTCTTTAGGCGAAGCGACGTCTAGGTCTTTATGCCCCGCCTACTGCCCAGGGCCCAGATTCACGAAAGCACTTACGCAAGCACTTACGAACGTGTACATCTTTCCTCAATCTTTGACGCCTTTGGTTACATTTATTAGACAGTTTACAAGCATGAAAACTTCCCATTCAACTGTTGTTGTTGTTGTTATAAACAGCCTCCTGGTGCTTCGGAGCTCATTAACTGCTAAATAATTGGAAACAAAGCCGCCAAAGATTGAGAAAAGATGTACAGGTTCGTAAGTGTTTGCGTAACTGCTTCGTGAATCTGGCCCCTGGTACTTGTGTTGTTTCAACTTAACTACTCTGACTCATGCTTTGTCGAATCTGGCCTTAAAGTTGTGGATGGAGGCGGCTTCCACAACTTCTTCTTTTAGAGCATTCCACTTGTTAACTATCCATTCTGGGTACGAGTACTTCCTTACGTCCCTTCGACTCATTTGTCGTTTCCCACTTCCATCTGTGTCCTCTTGTCCTGCTGTCTCTCAGTCTGAAGCGACTATCCTGGTCTACCTTATCTATTCCTCTCGGTATCTTGTATGATGTGATCATATCCCCTCTGTTCCTTCTATCCTGTAGGATTGAGATTTTCATTAATCTACTTTTGTAGACTAGCACTGTTAGTTCTGGCACCAGTCTTGTTGTAAACCTTTGTACTGTTTCAATTTTGATTTTACAAGGTGTGCATTCATACCTGTGATGCGTATTCCAGTATTGGTCGAACAAATGTTGTGTAGATTGCTTTGAAGGAGTCCTGATTCAGATACTTAAACTGATCCAGGTTCTTATATTTACCGGCGTCCCATATGCTGCTGATGTTACCCTGGTCATGTGTGCCTCCGGCGTGAGTGTTGGAATTATATCCACTCCCAGATCCTTCTCGCTTTCTGATACCTGTAGCTGCCTTCCCCTTATGGTATAGATGCCTCCTGGTCTTATCTCTCCTTTTCCCATCTTCATTATCTTACACTTATTGGGGCTGAATTCCAGCAACCATTTGCTGAACTACTCCTGAAGTTTGTCAAGGTCCTCTTGTATCTTCCTGCAGTGTCCTCATCTGTTATCACGTTGCTCATCAGCTTTGCATCATCTGCAAACATTGACATGTCTGAGCTCACTCCTTCGGGGAGGTCGTTCACACATATTATGAAGAGCAGTGGTCCCAGGACAGAGCCTTGTGGGACCCCACTTGGTACCTTCCTCCAGCTTGACACCTCCTCTCTGACTGTGACTCTTTGCTTCCTCTCCTTCAGGTACTCCCTCACCCACTTCTGTGCTTTCCCAGTTATTCCAATCTGCTTCTCCATCTTATACAACAGTTTTTCGTAGAGAACAGTGTCAAATGCTTCTGGACAGTCTAGAAAACTAGTCACTGCAGCCACCCTTTTTATGTTGTATTTGAGTCATTTTGTCATAAAACTCCATCAAGTTTGTCAGGCATGATTTTCCGTTTCTAAATCCATGCATTTTTTTTCTCATAAGCGATCCTTTCAAGATGCTCCACCATTGTTGACCTGATTACTTTCCCCAGTACTTCACAAGCAATACTTGTCAATAACACTGGTATATAGTTTAGTGCCCCCCTTTATATTCCCCTTGTATGAATATTGGAAAGATATTTGCATTTTTCCAGATATCTGGGAGGTTTCCTTTCCCAAGAGTTTTATCAAAAGTTTAGAAAACGGGTGACAGTACTTCTGCAGCCTCTTTCAACAGCAACCCTCCCTTCCTCTCGTAACTACAGGCTCTATAGTAACTACAGGCTCTATAGTAACTACAGGTTCTATAGTAACTACAGGCTCTATAGTAACTACAGGCTCTATAGTAACTACAGGCTCTATAGTAACTACAGGTGCTATACACATAATATAAGACAACAATTGGGTACCTGGCGACCGGACGCGCGGAGTTGCCTGATACTAAATATAGTTTGTATATTTTTTGCGCCCAAGCTGGTATGAAGCGGATCAAGTTCCCAGATTATCTTAGCAAATTGTGGAATAATGTGACGCGCTCTGATGAATTATGATGAAGGGGGGAGAGGAGGAGGAGGTAGGAGAGAAGGAGAAAGTAGAGGAGAAGGAAGGAAGGAAGAGAGGGAAAGTAAGGTTGGAAAATAGAGAGCACAGCGTTGGCAGAGAAAAATATAAGAAAGTTACTAATGGAGACGAGGAGGCAGGGAAGGAGGAGAAAGAGGAAGAGGAGGGTTAACAAATAAGGCAGAGTAGTGACGAGTTACGGGCTACTCATGCCCGTGCCACCTTTTGGGTGGCTTAATCTTTTATCAATTTATCAATCTAATGACGATGCTTGTACCCTGGCCGACGCTGGTCCAGCCACTCCGTACAAAATACAACGTTTTGCCTCACCGGAAACGCACGAACCTAAGCAACCCACCTAACCTGTCGAGGCCTAGGCACAGAAAACGTCATTATTACGGTGCTTTAATTATTTCTAATACGTCGCAAATTTAACATATCAATAAAATATATGACGTCGCAATTTTGACGGAATCTAATAATCCGTTAGAAATGCGACGTATTAGTTCAAATTCAGTGGTGTTATTGGTAATTGTGGTAGACCTATTGGTGATTGTGGTGACGTTAGGGGTAGTGATTGTGGTGATGGTGGTAGTTTTGGTAGTGGTCATACCTGTCGAATTGACAGCCTTGGTGGTGGTACTTTGTGACAGTAGTGAGAGATATCGCCAGCAGCAATAATGGTGGTGGTGGTGGTAGAGGACAGGGCAGCACTGGTGGTGAACAACCACCACAACAACAACCACCACTCTCCTCGTCCTCAGAGTACTACAAGTACTCTGCTTCACCTACAGGTATAGCATTGTCACCAACACAACGTTAGAATATAACATATTAAGGGAACAACAGAAGGCTTACTGTCCCATGCCAGGAAGCTTCTACTTACATCACCCAAACTCATTCCTATGTGTCTAACCTACACTTGAAACAATCCACCGATCCCTCGCCTATTATGTTACCCGGTAATTTGTTCCATTAATCAACAACCATTTTTCCAAACCAGTATTTACCCAGGTCTTTCCTGAAACTACACATAAGCCCCTCTCTATAGTGTTACCAAACTTAATACAAAATGACGCAGTATGATTGTTATTTTCAAAAATTACAACTGTCATTAACATATCCTTTACGTAATTTTGTAAATTCCTTCAATTTCCTTATTTGCAGAATATTTAAACAATAAATATGGTATATAATGAAGAGTAACCGTTTACATCCTTGACGTGTATATTTTATATATATATATATGTCGTACCTAATAGCCAGAACGCACTTCTCAGCCTACTATGCAAGGCCTGATTTGCCTAATAAGCCAAGTTTTCATGAATTAATTGTTTTTCGACTACCTTACCTACCTAACCTAACCAAACCTAACTTTTTCGGTTACCTAACCTAACCTAACCTATAAAGATAGGTTAGGTTAGGTTAGGTAGGGTTGGTTAGGTTCGGTCATATATCTACGTTAATTTTAACTCCAATAAAAAAAATTTACCTCATACATAATGAAATGGGTTGCTTTATCATTTCATAAGAAAAAGATTAGAGAAAATATATTAATTCAGAAAAACTTGGCTTATTAGGCAAATCGAGCCTTGCATAGTAGGCTGAGAAGTGCGTTCTGGCTACTAGGTACGACATATATATATATATATATATATATATATATATATATATATATATATGTCGTACCTAGTAGCCAGAACTCACTTCTCAGCCTACTATTCAAGGCCCGATTTGCCTAATAAGCCAAGTTTTCCTGAATTAATATATTTACTATAATTTTTTTCTTATGAAATGATAAAGCTACCCTTTTCACTATGTATGAGGTCAATTTTTTTTTATTGGAGTTAAAATTAACGTAGATATATGGCCGAACCTAACCAACCCTACCTAACCTAACCTAACCTATATATATAGGTAAGGTTAGGTTAGGTAGCCAAAAAAAGCTAGGTTAGGTTAGGTTAGGTAGGTTAGGTAGACGAAAAAACATTAATTCATGAAAACTTGGCTTATTAGGCAAATCGGGCCTTGCATAGTAGGCTGAGAAGTGAGTTCTGGCTACTAGGTACGACATATATATATATATATATATATATATATATATATATATATATATATATATATATATATATATATATGTCGTACCTAGTAGCCAGAACGCACTTCTCAGCCTACTATGCAAGGCTCGATTTGCCTAATAAGCCAAGTTTTTCTGAATTAATATATTTTCTCTAATCTTTTTCTTATGAAATGATAAAGCAACCCATTTCATTATGTATGAGGTAAATTTTTTTTATTGGAGTTAAAATTAACGTAGATATATGACCGAACCTAGCCAACCCTACCTAACCTAACCTATCTTTATAGGTTAGGTTAGGTTAGGTAGCCGAAAAAGTTAGGTTAGGTTAGGTAGGTTAGGTTGTCGAAAAACAATTAATTCATGAAAACTTGGCTTATTAGGCAAATTGGGCCTTGCATAGTAGGCTGAGAAGTGCGTTCTGGCTACTAGGTACGACATATATATATATATATATATATATATATATATATATATATATATATATATATATATACATTTGATGGTTACAAGATATACATGGGTTGATACAAAAATAATAATGCAAAAAGGTGCTTAAAGGTTATGGATCTCTTGAAGAACACAACAATGGGAAACATTGATGAATGTCACAGACGGGTTCGATCATTGTTGCAAGTCAAACACTTCTTCGAATTCCTCTGAAGTTGGACTAGTGCCCAAGACGCAACAGGCATTTCCCCTCTGAATCGCAACACTGAGGCGCTGGAACAAGAAACTTTTTGCTCTCTGGTCTTTTGTAGCGCTGATCAATTTGTCCCCCAATTCCTTCAGGAACTTCAATGCACATTTTCCCCACGAACCGAGGGTCTCCGAGCCGATCGGAACAAAGCTGTAGCAGTGTGCTAGGCCTCTGTATTTAATAATTTTCTGCGATTCCCTGAAAGAAGCAGCACCACCGCTTTCACGTGTGCTGTAGTGGAGGTAGGTACTGGCCAGTGTGGCAGCGCACGTGTAGTCCCATACCACTTGCTTACCATCCTTCCAAGGTAGCAATATATATATATATATATATATATATATATATATATATATATATATATATATATATATATATATATATATATATATTGCAGACGTTTAGATTACCGGTAGCATAATCACTGGAATGTTTCAAGGTGGGTTACCCACATATATGAATGAGTTTGGGTGGCTATAAGTAGGAGCTGCCTCCCAATAGGCCTCCTGCAGGTCTTTATATTCTTATATATTATATATTAGACTGACATTATAAGTCTATCATATCTCCATGATATAAAAGTCAGCGTTCACTGACCTCTGTACTCAATTTTATAATATATTCATTTAGTATATTTTAACCTTTGTCGCTGGCAAGTTCTATTGGCGTCCCACAGGGGGACCTGTTGCCATTGGCGTCCCACAGGGGGACCTGTTGCCATTGGCGTCCCACAGGGGGACCTGTTGCCATTGGCGTCCCACAGGGGGACCTGTTGCCATTGGCGTCCCACAGGGGGACCTGTTGCCATTGGCGTCCCACAGGGGGACCTGTTGCCATTGGCGTCCCACAGGGGGACCTGTTGCCATTGGCGTCCCACAGGGGGACCTGTTGCCATTGGCGTCCCACAGGGGGACCTGTTGCCATTGGCGTCCCACAGGGGGACCTGTTGCCATTGGCGTCCCACAGGGGGACCTGTTGCCATTGGCGTCCCACAGGGGGACCTGTTGCCATTGGCGTCCCACAGGGGGACCTGTTGCCATTGGCGTCCCACAGGGGGACCTGTTGCCATTGGCGTCCCACAGGGGGACCTGTTGCCATTGGCGTCCCACAGGGGGACCTGTTGCCATTAGCGTCCCACAGGGGGACCTGTTGCCATTGGCGTCCCACAGGGGGACCTGTTGCCATTGGCGTCCTACAGCGACCTGTTGCCATTGGCGTCCTACAGCGACCTGTTGCCATTGGCGTCCCACGGGGACCTGTTGCCATTGGCGTCCCACGGGGACCTGTTGCCATTGGCGTCCCACGGGGACCTGTTGCCATTGGCGTCCCACGGGGACCTGTTGCCATTGGCGTCCCACGGGGACCTGTTGCCATTGGCGTCCCACGGGGACCTGTTGCCATTGGCGTCCCACGGGGACCTGTTGCCATTGGCGTCCCACAGCGACCTGTTGCCATTGGCGTCCCACAGCGACCTGTTGCCATTGGCGTCCCACAGGGGGACCTGTTGCCATTGGCGTCCCACGGGGACCTGTTGCCATTGGCGTCCCACAGCGACCTGTTGCCATTGGCGTCCCACTAGTCCCCTGTTGCCATTGGCGTCCCACGCCAATGGATAGCGAATGAAAATACAATAGGTGGATGTATTCCCCGCTAGACCAGGACAATACTGAACAAAGGAAACGGGTTATTTGACGTGGATTGGCAGCACGTGACTTGACCCTCTGATGACGTCACAAAGGTCATCTCGGGTCACCGCGCTTCAGTTGATATTTAGTTGTTGTGACCTTACGGAGCCCGCCAGGAGGAAAGTGTTGACCCCTGTGTCCTTGTTTGTGGTGACCCCTCGTTATTAGGGACACGCCTAGTCACGTGTTTGGTCGGTTATATCTATGTTTAATACAATTGGATGTGTGTGTGTGTCCGTCGTTGGAGGCTATGTAGCCTCTCCAAACTTTGCAGGGTGACTGGTGGGTGGTAGGGGACGGGCATAAGAGGTATCCTGGTCGGCCTTTTCACTCCATTTCATGGATTTAAGGAATTAATTGAGGGAAAGCTCTGCCAAAGCATATGTACTTAAGGCAGATTTGCTGACAATTCCTGATACTTAAATGGCACAACCTTTTGTGGTCGAGCTGGGCACTGGTACACCTCAGTGTTCCACACTAACGTGATGTATCAATGAGAACACCCGTAGGAGCCCTGAAGAGGATTCGAACCTGTGCGGAGGGTGTTCCCACGCACTCTCCCTAAACAACCAGGCCATCACATGGTCAAAAGGATTGCAACTTGGAGTTCTACTGAACTCACGAGGGTTGAACTCTTACAGATTTTCTGAATGATACACATCAACCAGTAGCCTGCCTGGGAGCTGAGTCTCCCTCACCCCCACCCCCACCACCTGGGAGCTGACAGTCTCCCTCACCCCCACCACCTGGGAGCTGACAGTCTCCCCCACCCCCACCACCTGGGAGCTGACAGTCTCCCTCACCCCCACCACCTGGGAGCTGACAGTCTCCCTCACCCCCACCACCTGGGAGCTGACAGTCTCCCCCACCCCCACCACCTGGGAGCTGACAGTCTCCCCCACCCCCACCACCTGGGAGCTGACAGTCTCCCCCACCCCCACCCCCTGGGAGCTGACAGTCTCCCCCACCCCCACCACCTGTGAGCTGACAGTCTCCCTCACCCCCACCACCTGGGAGCTGACAGTCTCCCCCACCCCCACCACCTGGGAGCTGACAGTCTCCCCCACCCCCACCACCCGGGAGCTGACAGTCTCCCTCACCCCCCCACCACCTGGGAGCTGACAGTCTCCCTCACCCCCCCACCACCTGGGAGCTGACAGTCTCCCTCACCCCCCCACCACCTGGGAGCTGACAGTCTCCCTCACCCCCCCACCACCTGGGAGCTGACAGTCTCCCTCACCCCCCCACCACCTGGGAGCTGACAGTCTCCCTCACCCCCCCACCACCTGGGAGCTGACAGTCTCCCTCACCCCCCCACCACCTGGGAGCTGACAGTCTCCCTCACCCCCACCACCTGGGAGCTGACAGTCTCCCTCACCCCCACCACCTGGGAGCTGACAGTCTCCCTCACCCCCACCACCTGGGAGCTGACAGTCTCCCTCACCCCCACCACCTGGGAGCTGACAGTCTCCCTCACCCCCACCACCTGGGAGCTGACAGTCTCCCTCACCCCCACCACCTGGGAGCTGACAGTCTCCCTCACCCCCACCACCTGGGAGCTGACAGTCTCCCTCACTCCCACCACCTGGGAGCTGACAGTCTCCCTCACCCCCACCACCTGGGAGCTGACAGTCTCCCTCACCCCCACCACCTGGGAGCTGACAGTCTCCCTCACCCCCACCACCTGGGAGCTGACAGTCTCCCTCACCCCCACCACCTGGGAGCTGACAGTCTCCCTCACCCCCACCACCTGGGAGCTGACAGTCTCCCTCACCCCCACCACCTGGGAGCTGACAGTCTCCCTCACCCCCCACCACCTGGGAGCTGACAGTCTCCCTCACCCCCCACCACCTGGGAGCTGACAGTCTCCCCCACCCCCCACCACCTGGGAGCTGACAGTCTCCCCCACCCCCCACCACCTGGGAGCTGACAGTCTCCCCCACCCCCACCACCTGGGAGCTGACACTCCAGACAATGGAGTGGCTTGCCCAGGAGAGAGAGAGAGAGAGGGTTCCCGGCCAGTCGGTGTTTATTTATGAAAACATTTTAACCTGTTACAGGCAAAGTATGCAGAGTAGAACTTTTCTGTTCATTTTTCCGAGATCAATGTCAAACATTTTGCAATACTGTAAGAACAATTTTGAACAAAGGGCGTTCAAAGAAGACGTTGCAGATTCTCCCTTAAAGATTTGATGATGATGTTTTAGATTTAGCTATTTAGAACGAAATGTCCATGTAGCACGGGCTATGGTGAGCCCATAATTGAGAGCGGTTATTCGCGATAACCTTGTTACTCTGATATTTGGGTCAAAGTTTTATATGGAGGTGGAGGTGGGGTTTCCTCCTTTTTCCCTGTTTCTTTTTTGCTTTTGTTTTAGTCCACTGGTTTTAGTCTTGTTTAATAACATTATCTTGGTGGCGGATATAGATGCAGAATGTTCACTAGTGTGTCCCATTCTTCAACTGCTTTTCTAATCATTGTAGTGGCTGTGGAATGTGCATCTAATGCAGCTGCTGTTGTTGTTGTTGTTAAAGATTTAGCTACTCAGGCCGAAGTGTCCATGTAGCACGGGCTATGGTGAGCCCATAATGCAGCTGCTGTCGTTGATCCTATATACAACTTTTAAGACACCAGAGCGGTGAAGTGATCCTCTTCATCCCCTCCCCCCCTTGCTTCCTGCCATTCAAGATAAAATTCGTAAGCCATTGTGACAAATCCGGTCTCGAAATGAAACTCTACAATAGCATTTGCATTGTCCACGTAAAAACTGGTCTGTGAGAACGTGACATGCCCTCTCCCGCTATACCAAGGACGCCCTTACATCCTCCAGAAGAAGCCTTGACTACTGGTATATACAAGGGGGAAGGATGCCGTCCTGTGCGGCCTTACTGATCCTCTTAGGAAGACTCCAGAGACAAAAGAAATATTCATTTAACTCTTATGGTTAAATTGTATTATTATATTAGATATAAAATTATCTGAAATAAAGTCATTAAGCTCTTATTGGTTATAATTTTGTATGCTGTCTGTATTACCCCATCCAAATATGATTCTTCGTTATATGAGGAAATACATAATGTCATGCCTTGTATTTGGTTAATTAGGATACAGTGTTGAGTGCATGCAGCAAGATGCGTTGTTGTATGCTAGGCTGCATAAGGATCCTTTGTTGTGGGTTAGGATGCAGCAGGATGTCTTATTGTGTCTTAGGATAATCTAATACGTTTAATTTTGCATTACAAAAAAAATCAAACGGATCAGTTTTATAATAAAAACCTACCTGAATGCGTCACTATGATGTATCCTAATAGCGGTAACTTAGAATAATGATTAAACAAAGAGTTTTTGCTGCATTCTTGGCGAACTTCGTCACTCTTGGAGTCATTCCAAGACTCAGCATTTAATAATTGATAGTTACGTCTGACCTTCTACGCTAACCAGTCGCCAGAGTTGATGCTTGAGTGCATGGGGTAGGGCTGGCGGGGGAGAGGATGGGTGGATGGGTGTATTAGGTGTGAGGATGGGTGGGATATGAGTGGATGGAGAGAGAGGAAGCGACCTCGGACGAGGGAACCGGATGAAAGGATGATTCTAACGCTGTGAGGAAATATATTGTTTTAGATCGGTGAAAGGGTGATGTGGGGAGGGTGGGACGGGTGGGATGGATAGAGGGGGTAAGAAGCGAGGATAGGAGGGGTCGTGAGGGGGCCTGGAGTGCCCAGGGAGGGTGTGGAGAGGTCAACTACTCCGTTAAGTGTCGTGGGTGACCTGACTCCCTCGGGTCATCAGTTGAAGGTTTTACCTGATTTCTCCAAACAGGATTTGCCTCCCTGCCTGTATTGTGAACGGTGGTGGGCGTTGAACACTACGGACCTGTTCATGGCGAGTGTTGAACACTGTGTTCTTGTTCGTTGCTAGGTGTTGAACACTTGGTACCTGTTCTGGTGGGTCTTGAACACTGCCAAACCGGTCCGTCTAATTACCAAAAACTACCACATACTACACACGCCTCAGAAAACTTCCTGGCAATACGTTAGTAATGAATAAATATGATATATTTACTCATTATAATGTTGGTGCTGAATGTACAACACGAAAAAACATAATTTTAATCTGAAAAAGTATCTTTTTATAAAGAAATTAGACGAAAATAAAAAGCTGGTGACGCCAAATCAAGTCGACGATCCAAGCTTCGGTTAGGTTAGGTTAGGTTTGGTTAAGTTAGGTTAGGTTAGGTTAGGATAGGTTAGGATAGGTTAGGTTAGGTTAGGTTAGGTCAGCCTAACTTAATGTATCATATTTATTCATTACTAACGTATTGCCAGGAAGTTTTCTGAAGCGTGTGTAGTATGTGGTAGTTTTTGGTAATTAGACGGACCCTGCCAAACTGAACTTGATGGATGTTGAACACTGTGTACCTATTCTCGCTGGATGTTGAACACTGTACTTGTTCGCGCTGGGTGTTGAACACCGTACACCTGTAACAAACGATGGTGTTCATTAACATGTATGATTTAAAGATGCTAATTAATGGTTTAGGCTTACCTCTTTCAGGTAACTCCAGGTGCTTAGTCTTGTATGCGAACATATACCCCTGTTTGTGGTGTACAGTGTAGTGACCTGCCCGGGTTGACCTGTCCGGGTTGACCTGTCCGGGTTGACCTTTCCAGACAGGTCATAAGCCATCCTACGAGTTGAATTATGACGCGTGGAGTTATTAAATAATCATTATAATTTAATGTAAAAAGAGCATTGGAAATAAGGACACTTCAGAGGGTCTATGAGCCCCTTTGTGGCAGCTCCTGTTTATATTCACCCAGACCCACTCATATATACGTCTGACCTGCGCTTGAAACAGTCCAGTGAATGCACTTCATTTGTTGGTTTGTGGGCGATTCCGCTCACTCCTTTGGTGAGTCTTCCTGTGAGGAATGTTGGTGTGGCCGGTGGTGGTGTTAGTGGTGTGGCCGGTGGTGGTGTTAGTGGTGTGGCCGGTGGTGGTGTTAGTGGTGTGGCCGGTGGTGGTGTTAGTGGTGTGGCCGGTGGTGGTGTTAGTGGTGTGGCCGGTGGTGTGGCCGGTGGTGTGGCCGGTGTTGGTGGTGGTCACTGGTGGCCGGTGTTGGTGGTGGTGTGGCCGGTGGTGGTGTTAGTGGTGTGGCCGGTGGTGGTGTTAGTGGTGTGGCCGGTGGTGGTGATGGTGTGGCCGGTGGTGGTGTTGGTGATGCAACCCGTTCTCGCAAATTCATAAAGTCAATATTGACTTATTAACTACGTGCATAGGTGATATACTAAACATAATAGATACCCTTAAAAAGATTCATAGAAAACACCGACCTTACCTAACCTTGTTAGTATCTTAAGATAAGCATCTTATTGCTTCGTAATTACACGGTGATGGTGTGGCCGGTGTTGGTGGTGGTGTGGCCGGTGGTGGTGTTGGTGAGGCCGGTGGTGTGGCCGGTGTTGGTGGTGGTGTGGCCGGTGGTGGTGTTGGTGATGGTGTGGCCGGTGGTGTGGCCGGTGTTGGTGGTGGAGTGGCCGGTGGTGGTGTTGGTGATGGTGTGGCCGGTGGTGTGGCCGGTGTTGGTGGTGGTGTGGCCGGTGGTGGTGGTGGTGGTGGTGGTGTGGCCGGTGTTGTTGAAGGTGTGGCCAATGAGGGAGAAGTCAGGCATCACTGGCATTATCACCAATGCATCGCGTCCCGGATAAAAAGCACATCGTGCTATGCTGCCATATATGCTGTGTTAACCTATCCTACTAGGATTTTTATATAAGCTGTGGTATGACATCCTGCTCGCCTTTTTCATACAAGCTGTGGTAAAGCGCATCCTGGTAAGCTTTCATATAAGCTGTGGTAGCAGTCCGCAACGCTTCAGTTAGAAACTTCAGTTTCTACTGCTGTACCCTCCAGGGTAAGCAAGTTACAGTAATGATCTAGTTATAGTTTTTTGTATGAAGATCAGCAGGCAGTGAAGACTTTCACACTGTACGATACTCACGGTGTGAGGCGTCAGAGAGAGAGAGAGAGAGAGAGAGAGAGAGAGAGAGAGACACTAACAAAGATATCGTGGGATATTGGCTAATCCTCTGATAATTCCCTCTTCCTCCATATTTTCTCTATCACCTGTTGCTGTATTTTATCCCCGGCGGTGCCCGGGTCGACCTTGGTGGCCGTGGGGGGACTGTAAAATGTTGCAGTATTCAAGTGCTGGGAGCGCGAGGCGACCCGATACTTCGGTTGAGCTGGGGACCGAAATGTTGCATCATTCTCGGGTACTCTCACCACCCGGCCATCCATCGTCTTGTTGATGGGGTGACCCGCGGTGGCCTGGGTTCGAATCCTGAGGAGTCTGAGTGTTTTATTATAATTATAATAAATATTATAATTATAATAAATATTATAATATTATATATAATATTATAATATTATATATATAAATTTATATATATTTATATATATATATATATAATATATATATATATATATATATATATATATAAATATAAATAAATATATATATATAAATATATATATAATATATATATATATATATATATATATATATATATATATATATATATATATATATATATATATATATATATATATATAATGTTGTACTTAGTAGCCAGAACGCAGTTCTTGGCCTACTATGCAAGACCCGATTTACATAATAAGCCAAGTTTTCTAGAATTTCAATATTTTTCTCATTTTTCTCTTATGAAATGATAAAACTATTTATTTCAGTATGTATGAACTAATTTTTTTTAAATTTTAATTAAAACTAACGTAGATATTTGACCGAACCTAACCAACCCTACCTAACCTATCTTAACCTAACCTAACCTAACCTATCTTAACCTAACCTAAACTCGCATAACTAAATCAATAATTTATGTTCTTAATATAATATAATAATAATATTTAAAATAAACCAATAGGAAACAATTTATTGAAAATAAAGAAAATCACTCGGCCTATTAGGCAAATCGGGCCTTGCATAGTAGGACGAGAAGTGCGTTCTGGCTACTAGGTACAACATATATATAATATATAATATTATATATATTATAATATATAATATACTATATAATATAATATATAATATACTATATAATATAATATATAATATACTATATAATATAATATATAATATACTATATAATATAATATATAATATACTATATAATATAATATATATATATATTTTTTTTTTTTTTTGAGATATATACAAGAGTTGTTACATTCTTGTACAGCCACTAGTACGCTTAGCGTTTCGGGCAGGTCCCTGGAATACGATCCCTGCCGCGAAGAATCGTTTTTTCATCCAAGTACACATTTTACTGTTGAGTTAAACAGAGGCTACAGTTAAGGAATTGCGCCCAGTAAATCCTCCCCGGCCAGGATACGAACCCATGACATAGAGCTCGCGGAACGCCAGGCGAGTGTCTTACCACTACACCACGGAGACTGCTATATTATATAATATACTATATAATATAATATATAATATACTATATATAATATACTATATAATATATAATATACTATATAATATAATATATAATATATAATATACTATATATACGAAAGTACTTGAGGAAATTCCTGTTTCAATTCTTCCTCCGTGGTCTGACACTGTCACATTTTTCCTCGTGTGTTAACTTTCGTGATTTACACACACACATAAGATGTTGTTGAATATGACTGAAAGGGTAAGATTAATAATTTTAACAGGAATCTTTTCAATATTTCTTACGTTTTTCTTCACTGTCGAGGGTAATTGAAAAATTAACTCAACAAAATTCATTTTTTACATTTTTATTTTTGGTCTGACGCCTGAAAGCGTTTCGTAAGGGCTTCTTACATTTTCAAAGACTGGTTTACACATAACGTACATCATGCTAATATTTGTTTTGGATGAGGTGGGTATAAATTGGATATGAAAACATAAGAATAGAAGTAACTACAGAAAGCCTATTGGTCCATACTTTCTCTTGCTGCTTCTATGTTGGTTCGGGGTCTTGAAGTGGGGTCAAGACCCCGAACCAACATAGAAGCAGCAAGAGAAATTATGGGCCAATAGGCCTTCTGTAATTCCTTCTATTCTTATGTTTTCATACCCAATTTATACCCACCTCACCCAAAACAAATATTAGCATGATGTACGTTATGTGTAAACCAGTCTTTGAAAATGTAAGAAGCCCTTACGAAACGCTTTCAGGCGTCAGACCAAAAATAAAAATGTAAAAAATGAATTTTGTTGAGTTAATTTTTCAATTACCCTCGACAGTGAAGAAAAACGTAAGAAATATTGAGAAGATTCCTGTTAGAATTATTAATCTTACACTTTCGGCCATATTCAACACCATATGTTTACAAGAAAGACTGCTACCAAAATATACTAACACATACATAATGTATATAATGTATATGTATAGTACGTAGATATATTTTGGAGTACATGTGTTACTTTAACTTTTGTGATGGGGGGGGGGGGGATTATTGCTAAAGAAGCATCTTTTGTGTAAAATTTCTCGATCATAATACTTCATTCATGTCACGAAACGGCTAAATTAATATATAAAAAATATTAATATAAAGCGAACATATATATATATATACAAGATCGTTGTAAATTAAACAAAGTTTGATATCTTATAAGTTCTTCCAGGTTTGTAGATAAAGTTTTGTTACATATCTGGCAGTTAAGTGTTTGTTATTCATAAAGAGGCTAAGTGAGTTAATGTTGTGCATGGTCTGTATTCCAGAGGTACAGCACATGCACGGTGACGAGGATAGTGACGAGGACGGTGACGAGGATGGTGACGTGTAGACACCACCACCACCACCACCACCACCACCACAGCAGCAGAAGACGAAGGTGTCTTCCACACCTGCTGGGTGTGAGGAGGAATGTGCTGGCTCTGGCTGTTGTGGTCTTCTTGTGTCCGCTGGTCAGTGGAGGTCAGTGGTACTTCTCTCTCCCTCTCACACACACACACACACACACACACACACACACACACACACACACACACACACACACACACACACACACACACACATATGGACTCCATGCTGGGGCTGCATACTCCAGGATTGGCCTGACATATGTGGTATACAAAGTTCTGAATGATTACACAAGTTTCTGAATGCCGTTCGTATGTTGGCCAACCTGGCATATGCCGAGGATAACATCAGCGGCATATGCCAGGCTGGCCAACATACGAACGGCATTCAGAAACTTGTGTAAAGAATCATTCGGAACTTTGTATACCACATATGTCAGGCCAATCCTGGAGTATGCAGCCCCAGCATGGAGTTCATATCTAGTCAAGGATAAGACTAAACTGGAAAAGGTTCAAAGGTTTGCCACCAGACTAGTACGAGAGCTGAGAGGTATGAGCTACGAGGAGAGACTACGGGAATTAAACCTCACTTCGCTGGAAGACAGAAGAGTTAAGGGGGACATGATCACCACATTCAAGATTCTTAAGGGAATTGATAGGGTAGATAAAGACAGGCTATTTAATACAAGGGGCACACGCACTAGGGGACACAGGTGGAAACTGAGTGCCCAAATGAGTCGGAGATATTAGAAAGAACTTTTTTAGTGTCAGAGTGGTTGACAAATGGAATGCATTAGGGGGTGATGTGGTGGAGGCTGACTCCATACACAGTTTCAAGTGTAGATATGATAGAGCCCAATAGGCTCAGGAATCTGTACATCAGTTGATTGACAGTTGAGAAGCGGGACCAAAGAGCCAGAGCTCAACCCCCGTAAGCACAATTAGGTAAGTACACACACAACAGGGAGTCAATAGGCCGTTAGCAGTCTGTTGACTACTAACGGCCTACTTAGAGTAATAGGCTGTTTCAGTCCTTACCTACCAGTGACTACGGGAGGTAAGGTCTAGGTCTCCAACCCGTCCTCCTAAGAGAACGTCGCATTCTGACGTACACTCTACCTAAGACCAAAAATCATCGTGCTAGAAAATGGTAGTGGGTCGCGAAATTAACATCCTGTCCCGTTTTCTGTTTTAGGTTCTCTGGTAGGTTAGAATAAGGGCACTCTAGTACGACAGTCTTCTTGACCGTTGGGAAACCTTATAGGAAGACGGGTTGGTTCATGCCTTCGCCTAATACCCGGATTGTACCTGTTGCGTTATAATTGAGCTATTCTGACGATCTATATCCACCCAGACTCATTCATATACATGTCTATCCTACGCTTGAAACAATCGAGGGGACCCAATGACCACACTGTTACCCGGAGAACGGAATATGACAGATAACACCACAAGATTTCATTTGCCCGAAACGTTGCGCGTACTAGTGGCTTTACAAGAATGTAATTACTAGGCTATGTATCCTCACAATCCCAATGTACCTTCTTGTATATATACATATATAAATAAATAAATAATATCACTGGACTTGTCTTCTTGCAAAGTGATGTGATTAACCACATGTGTTGTCACTGTTAATCTCATCTTTCTCACGGTTGGTTTTCAGTGCATAATGTCATCGACGCGGTGAAGCTGAGGAAGGTGGGCCGCGCCGCTACTCTGCTGGCGCGGGGTGGGGACCTGACCGCCACGGACAGTCTTGGTGAGGCCTTGTTGTATAGCCTGTATGGTGTATAGCAGCGGGGTGTATGGTAGAAGGTGTATAGTTAGGGAGGTGAATGCATGGGGCGTATGGCAGGGAGGTATATGGAAGAGGGTGTGTATGGCAGAGAATGTATGGGAGGGGGTTTATTAATAGGAGTGTATGGCGAGGATTGTGTTAGGGAGCGTTGTGTATGGCAGGGGCTGTGTATGGCAGAGGGTTGTATAAGGGTAGTTAGTGTGCGCCATACTGAACGTTTAAACTAGTATACAAAAGGCAAATGTCTATGGAACTAGTGTTTATCTTCTGTATGGCCTGAGGTGAGTGTATGACAACATACATTAGTGTATTACCCCTATATAATTAGGCAAATTTTCTACAACTTGTTTCTGCCAGTATAAACTATATGTATAAATGTTGTATTGCAAAAAAACAAAACACTTGTACATGACTAATATACTGTATGATAAGCTTATGTATTACTAATACAGAGTAAGGTAAGCGTGTGTATAACTATAATAGTGATAACGGGCCACTCCATAGACACGTTCATCAATTTTAATGTAGTGTGTTTAATATAGACATTTTCTCATATATTAAGTGTTATATATTAGAATTTGGTGTATAACTAAGACCTAAATTTAGATGCAGTCCCTGTGGCGCAGTGGTAGGACACGTGCCCTGCGCTTCACGAGCGATTTGGCCTGGGTTCGTATCCTGCAACCCGTTTTCGCACTTGCTTGTTTATAGTCAATATTTGGCTTATTAATAAGTGCATATGTGACATACTAATGTATTGTGAATATTTGAGTTTACCTTGAAAAGCTGAATAGAAAACACCGACCTAACCTAACCTTCTTAGTATGTTAAGATAAGCATCTTATTGCTTCTTAATTACAATTAGTACTTAACCTATATCTATATTGATATTACAGTTTCATAAAAATAAAACAAAAATAAAATATTTAAATAAATTGTAAAGTAACTCTGGATATTGTCAAATTTTGTATAAAATCTCCATTCTTTAATAAAACTGAAAAAAGAAATTCCTAATATTAAAACTGATGTATTACAAATTTATAGAAAGAGTTTATACGCTGAAAACAAAATATAACTTGGAATATACCACATATGTACTTATTAATAAGCCAAATATTGACTATAAGCAATTAGTCATATACGTACTGGCTTGTGCAAGAGCGGGTTGCAACCTGGCCGGGGAGGTTTGACTAGGCGCCAATCCTTTACTATTGCCTCTGTTCACCCAGCAGTGAATGGGGACCTGGTTGTTAAACGATTTGGCAGGTCGTATTCCGGAGAAAATTAAGATTAAGGACCTGCCCGAAACGCTATGCGTGCTAGTGGCTTTATATATAAATAAAAAAATTAGATTAGATGTATAGCTTCTGTTGGCAATTACTTGTATTTGTTGTAAGTAGGTGCAACCCGTCCTCAGACTAAGTCCATTCCATAGACCGCTGGATAGAATGGACTTGGTATGATGGAATTGACTTGAACTTAGCCAGTCCATTCCAAAGACGCATTCATCAATTTTAACATGCTGTTCATTCAAAATAAGAATTTTCTCAAATATATTTTAATATTGTTATATATTAGCATATTGTGCATACTTAGGGATTGGTTAGGTTAGGTGTTTAGGTTCTGTTGGCGATTAGTTGTATTTGTGCAACCCGTCCTCTACTCAAGTCCATTATACTCAGCGGTCAACCCCACAGACGCATTCATAAATTTTAACATGCTGTTCATTCAAAACAAGTATAAATTAAATTCGCAAGTATAAATTAATATTATAATATATTAGCATATTGTGTATATATAGGCATAGGATAGGTTAGGTCAGGTGTTTAGGTTCTGTTGGCGATTATTTGCATTTGTAGTACGTGGGTGAAGCATTTACAGCGTTGTGGTTCGAACAAAATTCGTCAGTGAAGCACTTGTTCCGGATATGTTCGAACGTCAGCAGTTGTGAGTCGTGTGTAAACCGCTTTTCATTCATAAACAGGGGGTTTGGCGGGTGCATGGAATCACTTTTGGATCTTTGGAGGACGGGCTGTATTTGTAGTACGTGGGTGAAGCATTCCAAGCGTTGTGGTTCGAACAAATTTCGTCAGTGAAGCACTTGTTCCGGAAGTGTTCGAACGAAATCAGTTGTGAGTCGTGTGTAAAACGTTTTTCATTGATAAACAGGGGGTTTGGCGGGTGGATGGAATAGACTTTGGTCTTTGTTTAGAGGACGGGCTGCTGTAGCACGCGGGTGAAGCATTTACAAAAATCGTCAGTACTATTCGAGAATTATTTGTAGGTCATAAAGTGTGTAAAGCATTTTTCATAAATAAACAGAGGGGTTAGCGGCTGCATGGAATAAACGTCGACCTTTTTGATGAGGACTGGTTGAGTATCAACTGATGCTGCTCGAACTGTTCTCGAGCAAGTGCTTCGCTGATAACCTCTGATCGAACCACAACGCTGTAAATGCTTCACCCACGTACTACGAATACAACTAATCGCCAACAGAACCTAAACATCTAACTTAACCAATGCCTAAATATGCCCAATATGCTTATATATAACAATATTTATCTATATTTGAGAAAATTCTTGTTTTGAATGAACAGTATGTTAAAATTAATAAATGCGTCTTTGGGGTCGACCGCTGGATAGAATGGACTTAATCCGAGAACGGGTTGAAATGCTTCACCCACGTACCACAAATACAAATAATCGCCAACAGAACCTAACTTAACCTAACCTATGCCTATATATGCGCAATATGCTAATATATTTTATGATATTAATTTATATTTGACAACATTCCCGTTTCGAATGAAAAGCATGTAAAAATTTATGAATGCGTCTGTGGGGTCAACCGCTGGATGTAATGGACTTGAGTCGAGGACGGGTTGAAATGCTTCACCAACGTATTACAAATACAAATAATCGCCAACAGAACCTAAACACCTAACCTAACCTACGCCTAACTATACATAGAAGTTTTATGTATAATAATATTAATTTATATGTGAGAACAAACCAATGTTTAATACACAGAATGTTCAAATTGATGAATGCGTCTGGGGAGGACGGCCGCTGCTTTAAACAGCCTAGTGTGAGGACGGGTTGGCTAAACAGTATAATATACACATGTTATGTATTATGTATGTGTGCGCCACTGCAAGTTAAATTACGGTTTGTTTATTGCTGACTAGGTTGGACGGCTCTTCACAATGCTGCTAATATAGGTCAGGAAGCCATGGTGAGGCTTCTGATTGACTATGGTGCCAGCCTCGACACCCGCGAACCCAACCATGGTAGGTAGTGAACCATCATCCTCCTCCCCTCCCTATGGGCCTTGACCCCCCCCCTTTCTAAGGTAAATAGTGAACTACAATCCCGGCCCCTTTATGTAATTTTTGGCCTGGGCCAAAAATTTGGCCTTTTGGCCGTCCTAACAAGCCAATTTCTGTACTTATTGTGATATTGCTTCCTCCCTCTGTTTAATTTTGTCGGTGTTAAGTTGTGGTTACAATATTGTATCTGTGTTGCCAGGGAAGACAGCAGTGCACATTGCGGCTCACAGCGGCCAGGTGGCAGCACTGCAGGCCCTTCTGGAGGCTGGAGCCAACCTAGAAGCCAAGGACATTAATGGTAAGTCTCTCCCCCCCCCCCCACCCCATTCTTCGTCCTACTTGGTGTTTAAAACTTCCCTAGATGTAGTGCATGGCATCATCCTGGGTTGTCGTAGAACTGTCAGAATTGTTAACATTTAATTTTTAATTTATTTATTTATATATACAAGAGTTCTTACGTGCTTGTACACCCACTAGCACGCGTAACCTTTCCGGCAAATGAGAAATGGAACATGAGACAGGAACTAAAATTACCTTCTATTTACAAAAGAATAGTTCTACTTAGTACTATGTTTCGCGCCAAAACTTTGAACAATAATGGTCCATCTCAGCTCTATTCAATTTAAATTGAGATCCATTCTAAATAATTCTGACTGTTCTCTCCATCCGCCGCAAAAGCCTCCCTACAGTGTGTGGCTCAGTTGTTGTCCAACACTCTTCTGAAGCTGAGTATGTCTCTTAATCCTGATAAAACTGTTCACTATATTCCCCCCTTGGAAAGATGTGGAGGTCTCTTTGCATTATACACCCATCAGTGTAAAAGTAATGTATAACACTGAAACTATGAAATGTATAACATTAGAAGCTATTGAGTCACCTTCAAAATCTCAAACCGACTGAATCCTGTGACTTTACTGATGGCTCTGTACAATTAGGCACTGGTAGAACAGGTTGTGCATGTGCAGTATATAATGGGAATGAAATGATCATGTCTAGTACACTGAGATTGAACAACTGGGCAAGCACGACACAGCCTGAGCTATTGGGTATTTATCTAGCCACTGAATACCTTAAGCTCAATGGTGGTGGAGTAATATTCTGTGACTAAAAGAATAACCCATCACAATGTATGTCTGAAGTAGCTTGTAATATTAAATGGAATGTAATTTTTGCCAATGATAATAACCATTGTATAAAATTTGTGTGGATCCCATCCCATGTTGGAGTTGGAAAACATGACTTTGTAGATCGATTGGCCAATGAGGCTTGCAGGAAAGAAAACACTGATTATGACTTTGGCCTATCTAATGCCATTATTAAAAACATATAAATTAAAGAAATTAATTCAGATGTAGAAGAACTAAGAAACGTCCTGAGACTTAAAAGCTATGACAACTTTTGTAATAATAGATATTTGTATGGTTGCATGGTCAGCACAGTAACCGGACCAGACAATGTGATGTAGTCATTGTGCGAATTCGCCTTGGCTATAGATACATCTGGCAGGTTAGTGAGGCTGAGCCACTACCAGAATATTCAGATTGTAAACTCTGTGACAAACCTTTTAATGCATTCACTAGAACACTATATTGTTGAATGTGAAACCGTAAAAGATTTTAGACCTCCTGGCCTCTTGTACCACCAACTGTGTAACTATTTCATTGAATCTGGTGTACTGGACGACATCCTAACAATTTATCCAAAATTTGCTTGTCCATTTTAAAGAATGAAGAACAATTTTATTTATATTACTTCTAAGCTGCATCACTTATGAACCCATCCCTGCCCTTGTGTGGCATTGCACAATAGAAAGTTGTTTTTACATATTCATACATTAAAATATTGATTGTAATTGTATGATATATCATATTGATATATATGTGCTTCAGCCTACAGATTAGACCTATTTTCTTGTGTATGACTTTGTCCTGCGTGACAGTGAATACCAGCATTATCCTCACTTTAATAAGATTTAATTGAAATCCTCAGATTAGGCAAAATTGTAATTAATTTTGTCAATAAAGATGCTAATAATAATAATGTCAATGAATGTGTATTATATTAATTGTTATGGATAGGGGTTAGAGCAACGTAAGTTTTTTATTAGGTTACTATTGTGTACAAATGTACATTGTTTCTCCAGACATTTGAAGTGTAGGAACTTTGTCGTTTCCTTCAAACCTGCCTAAAATTAGATCCCAAGTCATTGTCTTGCGAGTCAATGTTTTAACATCTAGTACATCCCCCCTCCCCCCCTCTCTCTTCTGTGTGTGTGTGTGTTTCTATTTGTTATTTTGCGTTTTAACACTGCTCTTACCTATGTACTGTGCAATATTATGATGAATTCCTAGCAAGTTGTACGCAAGGCTTCGTTCTCAATTACGCCAGCATTGCACATACCGTTCGTGTAATCTTGTGAGACTGTTACTCAAGTGATAGATTTAGTGTGTATTTGCGTATGGGTGCGTGTTATTGTGTATTTACAATTATCTGCACTAAATATGTGAACAAATGGGACAAGGCAATTGATATCTGGAGGCATCTTGGCACATGTTAGAAAAATCCCGACAACTGCTAGGTGGAACCAGCAGTACCTAGAGAGAGAAAAGCCATCCTAACCTTAACTAGATGGTGCTAGGAGTACCCCACCTCCAGATGGAATAGGCATACCGACCTCTCCTGAGAAGAGCGGAAGTACTGTTGGAGTAAACAAATCCACAAGAGCCGTGATGAGGGTTCGAACCTACCCACGGGATGTTCCCAGATGCGCCTTAGTCATTTGATATATCGTGTGTACTGTTGGAGTACCTGTGGTAGGAATACCTGCCTCTGGTAACACGGATCCCTCCTCCCACAGGTCAGACGGCGCTCCACCTCGCCACCTGGCAAGGCCAGCTGAAGGCCATAGCTCTGCTACTTGACCACGGCGCTAATGTTGACGCTCAAGATAAATGGGGTGAGTGTCTCAGCTGATTGGGTGAGTCTCGGCTGGCATATAGTTGATTGGGTGGGTCTCGGGCAGTGTATAAAATATGGGACGAGTCTCGGGCAGTGTATAAGAGATTGGGCGAGTCTTAAATGGTGTAGATATACAGAGGAGTGTGTAACAGTGTCTGACACTGACCGCAGGCAGTACGCCGGTCTTCCTGGCCACACTGCGGGACTTGGTGAAGGCTGTGAGGGAGCTGCTGCAGTTCTGTCCGGACCTCAGACTCCCAGACGCCAAAGGTTAGTCCAAACCGTTTTGTCCACTATATTTCTTTACTTTATATCTTATCCTGACGACCTTTTTTATATTTTGTAAATATAAGACTTTATTAAATTTATTTGTTGCACTATTCACTCCAGAATTTGAATATTTCATTGGACATGAACTTTGCAAGACCAACGTTTAAACTTTGTTAGTTACTAGATAAGAATGTGTCTAATAGTCACTTATTTATCGTCATGGTGAATACTTGTTCATGCACTGTAGTACAGTAGTCTACATCTTCGACTCGCAACCGAATTAACCCCATATTATCAATCCCCGCACAGGACAAAAATGGTTGGGCATGTTTCTTTTCACCTGACGACTGTTCATCTAACAGTAAAACCGGGAATTAGACAATTGTTATTGGGGAGGGTCAGTAGTTCGACCTTAGGGGTGGGCGACCTCGATATAAGCCTAAAGTATATATGTACACCGGCTTCCTGTCCCCGGCAACGGGAATTAATTATTTTTTGGATGGCAGTGTTGTGTAATAAGGATAATAATACTGTGTGCGTCCGTACAGACAGAACTGTGACCCAGTACGCCAGGGATACCAACCTCACCGCCATCCTCAGCGCTCTCAAAGGTAAGCGTGTGCTGACGGAATTGTGGTCACCACTCTCCCAAATTCAAGTAAGTTTATTAAGATAATGAAATACAGTACATCTTAATAGGATAGAATAGCGTAGGCTACTTCTACCTTCGCACGGCCACTCTCCCATCTGGGGAATGGTTAAAGGATCCAAGTCACATCGTACGCAAGACGATTCGCCAAGGAATTTTGAAACCAACCTAATCTAACCTAGTTGAACTAAATCTAACCTAGCCCAAACCAACTTGACCCAACCTAGAACAATACAGCCTAGCATAACGATATGTATGGTTTTAACAAACAGAAAACGAGTGTCATTGAATCGTCTCGTGTCCGAAACGACTATATCCATTGTTAAATCGTTCACAAAAGAGTTCGACAAATTGACAAATAATTATCATTAAGATGTATTAATTTAGGTTAGTTTGGGTTAGGCTAGATTTGATTAAGCCTGATTAGGTTGGGTACGGATAGGTAGGGTTTAAAATCTGTTGACGAACCGACTTGTGTACTACCAAATATGGCTTTAGGTTCTCTTTGTACTATGACTTCTACTGTGCTAGGGGATATCTTCTACCCCTTGAACCTGTGGAAGTTAACTTGTATATAAGCATCATGCTAAACCCTTGCGGTCACCAGATCCAGAGACACCTATGATGTTACACCACATTCACGCCAAACATCTATAACCTACTGACTGTACTCATGCCCGTGCCACCTCTTGTGGTGGCTTAATCTTCATCACTCAATCGCTTGCGGTTTATATTTGACACCTGTCTGTCTTCCAGGCGTCACATGTCCATCATTATGCATTATTACCTGCAAAATGAATGCTCCAAGACCCTTACCTTACTCAAAAGCTTGTCTCGCCTACCTCTTGCTGGTGGTACGAGCTGTTTGTGTGAAGGTTTTCTCTTCCATCAAGGAGAGGTACCGTTGGCAGACGCGTCACAGCGGCGCTTCAGTGTTTTCAGTTTTCATAATGTGGCAAGACTTGAATGTTGGGTATATGGAGTTAGACTACTACTACTACTTCGCGATACGTGCAGTTTGCATGAAGGTTTTCCTCCCGATAACTGGACGAGTAATGTTGAAACGTGCATCACTCACAGTGGCGCATCAATGTTTATAATTTGGCAGAGTTTGAAAGTTATCGATGTCGTCTATTTGAGTGACTGACGACAAAAATAAACATATGAGTGGAACTTAACTTATGACAATAGGAGTGAGGAGTTGTGTTGACGGTAGACTTGATGCACGTGGCGGCTCGAGGATTTGTTGTTGTTTTGGGCAAAGAATCGACGATCGGATGCGCCCCGGCCACCCTCGCAACGTTTTCAATGTATTGAAGTTAGATTTGCGTTTTCTGTGGTGTTCTCCAGTTCTCAGATGAGTTAGGCAGTTTAGTTTACGGAATGGAAGTTGAAAGTTGATTTCAAATGACCTCTATCATTATTAAGCTTTGTATAATTCACTGCAATCAAGTATTATAGTGTTTAAGAGCCAGTAGTCATTAACATTGAGAGAGAGATGATGGCTTTCAGGTTAATTTAATTAATAAACGGTTAATAAATCAATTAACAATTATGTTAATAATCGGAAATCATGATAATCGGTTATTAGGGTCAGCAATACTGTTTATTGATTTTAATTAGCATTAGATCAATGTACTCACCTAATTGTTATTTTTATAGATGTTGCTGCCATTATTTTAATAACATTAATCTTATATATTACTTTACCCACTTGTAATAGTAGGAACGGTGAAGGTATTGTATTTTACAAGGTCGGAGTTCGATCCCCAAATGTTAAATTGGTTAGGCACCGTTCCCAGCTCCTTTCCCTCATGACCCAGCTCCTTATCATCCTATCCCAGATCCTTGTTCTTAAATACCATACATATTGGTACATATTCATTATTTTATTCATTTGGCTCCTGTTTTTCCGTAGATCATGCACGTCAGACCTGCAATAAACCCAAGCACCAGAACCAAGCTAAGAAGCTCCACATCGTCAAGGAAGGTTAGTGTAAACTCTCCAAGGACGGTTTACTGACCAAAAAAATTTTATTATTATTTTTGTTTACATATATATCATCTAAATATCCGAAACTGCCATATCCAGAGTTTCAAATCGTCTCCTATCGTCGTGGTTCTGAGTTTCGTTTCTCTGGCGGATGCTAAGGAACGACGTGCCCGAGGGGGGAGAAGCGGTACCCGGGCGACGAGTCGTCCAGCTGGTGGTTGAGGGAGACTTCGGCCGGAGAGACGGTTCTCATACCGTGTCCAGCTGGCGTTAACGGCTCGGCCACCTGGACCTGCCTACCAGATGGCACCTGGGATAGGACACCCATTCTCAGGTAACTACATAGCCTTGAACAAATCATCGTACGGCCCTTGTGGATTTGTTCATTTGATGCATCACGTTAGTGTGATCTCTGTGTGTGGTACATAGCCTTGGGATACCGAATACGACCCATTCTTAGATAACTAGACTTAAGAGAGGACATACTCTCAGGTAACTAGCCCTAGGATAGGTCACATTTTCTGGTAACTATCCCTGGGATAGGACATACATAGGATAAGGGTCTCGGTAGTACAGTTAGGTTTGTCCTCGACTCGCAATCAAATCCGGGGTTCGAATTCCGGGCTAGACAGAAATGGTTGGGCGTTTTCCTATTACCTAATGCACCGTTCACCTAGCAGCAGGGAGGTACCCAGGAGTTACTCGGCTTGTTGTGGGGTTGCGTCCTGGGGCGGGAGGAAGTCAGTACAGTAATTCCACCTAGGAGGGGGACCTCGACATAAGCCTAACGTGTATAAAAAAAACACACTGGCTACCTGTCCCTCAACACAATAAATTATGAATGATATTCTCTGGTAACTATCCCTGGGATAGGAACATTCTTGGGTAACGAGATTGACAGCACACAAATACGCCAGAATTAACAGTTTTTCTCAACAACAAGTTGAAAGCCTAGCAATGTTGAGATTCTTACTCAGGGGTATAATTACCCCTCTTGTAGATATGGCCGTATAGGAACCAAGTAAGGTTATGGGGCTCGATCCCTGAACAATTAAACAAAAATGGCTAATTAGAATTATTACCGTAATCGAAACGGATTTTTAGCGGCGAGGCTATACTTTTGAAAAGTTAAACCAGGCTATTGATATGTTTGTAAAGTCTTACTAGTACCTAATAGGACTAGTGGTGATAATTTCAACATTCTGGCGAAAATGGGTGTTAGAACATTTTGGATAATACATTATTGGGGGGTTTTGTTATAAAAACGCACAAAGATGTGGGTTTTGTGATAACAGATTTTTGTTATAAAAATCTTTGTGATAACAAAGATTTTTGTTATAAAACGCACAAAGAGTGATTTTTATTATTTTTTATGATAATTTTTTATGAGTGATATGAGTGAAAATTTATGAGTGATAAACATGCACATTTCTTCCTGTACCCACGCAGTATGTTACCAGACGTGCACACAAATACTTTTATAACTAGGTTCACATACAATTTCCAATAGACATTCAGAAGATATATTATTTTTAATAAATGGCGGTTACGTGTAGGTAACGTAATGAAATCTGGATTAATACATAAAATCACATGTTAAAAGTTAGAATACACGTAAATACTATTATCTCCAAGAAGTACAGGATCCAATACGTACTGATTGTACCTTCACTAAAACTACTGCAAATCTGTTGTTGTTGTTTTAGATTAACTACTCGGAAAAACATTTCCATGTAGCACGGGCTATAGTGAGCCCTTAAAAAAAAACTAAATCATTGTGCACTGTTGTCCCCTTGTAAGTGCACTCCACTGTAGAGTGCCTCACCATGCAGCATCTCACCGTCCGCGTCTCACTGTACAGCACCTGATCGGCTTCGCCTCACTGTACCATATCTCCACAGCCAGTGCCAGGCAGTGATCTTTGCCGGGTGGCGGGAGGCGCTGGAGGCGGGAGACAACGTCACGGCGGCACAGATCCTGAGCAGCATGGCCACCAGCCTCCAGAACATCAGCCTGGCGCCCGGGGACCTCCTCACACTGGCTCGCATCCTCCACAGTCTTCAACAGAAGCATCTTCACGACCTCCAACAACGCTCGGCCTCCATGGCAGAGGCTCTTAGCTTGGCTCAGGTGAGTGTTGGGGTGTGTACTAACCTGATACCTCCCACAAAACGAGCGAAGCCTAGTTCGTTATTCCCCCCCTCTACTAACCTTTTTTGGTACCGGTTGCGTTATAATCTAACTATCCTAATGTTCAAATTACATGTGGACTCTTATCTTTAGCTTATGGGTGGTGGAGGTGGCTTCTACAACCTTTTCTAGTGGATTCCACTTGATCATCTGCACAGGGTACGAGTACTTCTTTAAATTTATTCGGCTCATTTACAAACCTATGTGTGTGTGTGTGTGTGTGTGTGTGTGTGTGTGTGTACTCACCTAGTTGAGCTTAATGGGGTTGAGCTTTGGCTCTTTGGTCCCGTCAATCAACTGGTGTACAGATTCCTGAGCCTACTGGGCTCTATCATATCTACATTTGAAACTGTGTATGGAGTCTGCCTCCGCCCCACAAACACACACACACCTTACGCAGACCTCTCCACACCTGCAACACCAACCTTACATCTGGTATTTTCTACAGGTGTACATGGAGGGGATGATGGTGGCAGCCAACACCATGTTGTCCGGCCCCACCATAGCCCCGCTATGGTGGGGCCTTCCTCCCGAGCAGCGCGCCAACACATCCACCCACCTGCAGACTGCCCTCACCTCTGCTGCTGTCTCTCTCGCTCACCTGCAGAAGGCACCAACCAGGGACTTCACACAGGAGAAACTGCGTGAGTTACCTTGGTGATCCATGGCCATCTTAAACTGGTGATTAATTCGGGGTGATTTAAGTCCAGTCGTGGACTCGACGGTTCGGCAAAGCTCGTTTTCCGATTGTCAAAACCGTATTGCGTATTAGCTTAAGCTAGGATTGTGCTAGACTCGGTTGGGTGGTTTTGGGTTAGGTAAGGTTCGGTAGGTTTTACGGACCGTTGTTTTTTGTACGATGCGATTTGGAGCATTTAATTTTGTACTGGCTCCTGTGACATTATTAATGTTGCACTTATCTTTTGGACACATTCTCGGATAATTAGCCTCCACCTGTGACACATCCGCTGTATCACCACAGAATATACACACAAGATCAATACTGAGTTGACGATTTCCATATAACGAAAAGAAAAAAGATAAAATAAATGTGTTTTTGCATTAATTTCAATAGGTAAAATAAATATATTTCTTGTCTAAATACGACTCTCTCGATTGTGGATACTTGAGCAATCTGTCAATTTCTGGTGGTGGTGGTCAGGAAAACTGTGTTGACGGCTGTTTTCAGAACGATAATTACCGTTCTATGGGTTCCAAGGGACGGAAGGGGGTTATGTTGACGTTTCTGGAGTAATTAGAGAGGGATGGAGACTCGTTTGGCATGTGTTCCACACGGAATAGAATTTCACACTTCTAATTCCGCGTGGAAATTACAGAATTACCACGTTGATTAGAATTACACAAATGCTGACAAGTTCTAGAGGGAAGGAGCATATAGTGCGCATTGCATATAGCATTTTGCATACCTGTATCAGGGATGCAGGGTATAAGGGTGATGGGTGTTATAGATATAAGGTGTAGGGTGTAGTGGTAATGTCGGCCTGTGTGTTACAGATGTGAAGGTGATTCAGCAGCCCCCAGCATACTTCAGGAGGGAGAGTGGCCGACGCTCCTACACCCACTCTCACTACAACCTCACCACCCTCACTCTCCCTCACAGCTTCCACAGGGGCTATGCGGAGGGCCGCACCACCGTTAAGGTTGTTTTCGTCTCCTTCGCCACCCTCCACTGCACCTCCAACACTATTCCCTGGTGAGTCTCCAACACAGACCATTGCACCTCCAATACTCTCCCCTGGTGAGTCTCCAACAGTTCAATAGATATGGGCTCTATCATATCTACATTTGAAACTGTGTATGGAGTCAGCCTCCACCACATCACTTCCCTAGTGCATTCCATTTACTAACTACTCTGACACTGAAAAAGTTCTTTCTAATGTCTCTGTGGTTCATTTGGGTACTCAGCTTCCGCCTGTGTCCCCTTGTGCGTGTATCACCCGTGTTAAATAAGCCATCCTTAGTTAAAAAAAATTTACCCTGTCAATTCCCCTGAGAATTTTGTATGTGGTGATCATGTCTCCCCGAGCTCTTCTGTCTTCCAGCAACGTGAGGTGCAGTTCACGCAGCCTTTCCTCATTACTCATGCCTCTTAGTTCTGGGACTAGCCTAGTGGCATACCTCTGAACTTTTTCGAGTTGTCTTGTGCTTGACAAGGTACGGGCTCTATGGTGGGGCTATATACTCCAGGATTGGCCTTACATACATAGTATACAAGGTTTTGAAAGATTCCTTACACAGGTTTCTGAAGGCAGTTCTAATGTTAGCCAGCCTCGCATACGCTACCGATGTTATTCTTTTGATGTGGGCTTCAGGAGTCAGGTTTGGCGTGTGTGTGCAACCCGTTCTCGCAAATTTAATAAGTCAATATTGACTTATTAAATATGTGCATAGGTGACATACTTAACATAATAGTTTCCCTTGAAAAGCTTCATAGAAAACACCGACCTTACCTAACCTACTTAGTATGTTAAGATAAGCATCTTATTGCTTCGTAATTACAATTATTACCTAACCTATACCTATAATAGGTTAAGTAACAATTGTAATTACGAAGCTATAAGATACTTATTTTAACATACTAAGTAGGTTAGGCAAGGTCGGTGTTTTCTATGAAGCTTTTCAAGGGAAACTATTATGTTAAGTATGTCACCTATGCACATATTTAATAAGTCAATATTGACTTATTAAATTTGCGAGAACGGGTTGGTGTGTGTGTGTTTGGCTGTTGTTAGCGAGTGTGTGTGGCTTTTAGTGGTGAATCCAACTAATATTTTATTGGTGAATCCAACTAATATAACAAGGCATCATATTTAACAAAGCAACATATTTAACAAAGCATCTATAACACAGCATCATTTAGGCTATTTATCTTATCCTCTTTGCAAAACTGATCTCTTAAACTCTGCTTCCTCATGAACTGACCTCTGACCTCCGTGACCTTAACAGTGATTTATATGTTGCAGTGACCCGAGGAGAGTGGTGGCGGAGCGTGACCTCCCAGCTAAGGGTCAGGTCAACAGTGCCATCATCGGTGCCGCTGTGGGAAACGAGACTTGGCACGCTGGTATGTTGATCACTGCACTGTTCCCTTGCTGTGTGTTTCATCGCTGTATTCATTATTTTAAGTGTAAATTATTATGTAAATTACAAGTACAAATTATTATGTAAATTACAAGTACAAATTATTATGTAAATTACAAGTACAAATTATTATGTAAATTACAAGTACAAATTATCATTAATTTGGTTTTGTCGGGGACAGGAAGCTTGTGAATATATATACTTTAGGCTAGAGTCGGATCCCCCCTCCTAATCGCTATAATAGAACAGGTGTACATTCTCATAACCACGGGAGTGTGTGTAGTCCTCCAAGTCTATAAAGAGGACAGGTGTAAGAGAGAGATCTCTTGTACTCCTCAGCAGGAAAGACTTGTTCCAGTGTAATGTAGTGCCATGGTTATTGGGAGCAAGTGTTTGTGTTAAAGGTGTTTCTATCTCTATCCCAGGATAAAGCGGATGTTATAGGTCCCAGTAGGAGAACGACGCTGAAGTAAGGTTGAACCAATACAGGATCAACGTTACTTTAGCAGAGTTTGCCTGCTGGGAGTCCCATGAGGCAAATTGGAGCGAGCAATAAAGGACTCAGTCTCTCGGCAGCTCTGGGGGAGGCGGTGGAGGTACGCCTCCAGCATATATACAGCGGCGACACCTTCGAGCTCGGCGCACCAACCTGCGTGTGGTGGGATGTGGACTCCAGCTCCTGGGCGACGCACGGGTGCCGCCTGGCCAACACCTCGGCCAACTACTCCGTCTGCCACTGCGACCACCTTGCCTACTTGGCGGTCATCATGGATGTCAACAGTATCCTTGACACCACAGATGTGAGTATTAGAGCAGTATCCTTGACACCAGAGACGTGAGCATTACAGCAGTATCCTTGACACCAGATGTGAGTATTAGAGCAGTATCCTTGACACCAGATGTGAGCATTAGAGCAGTATCCTTGACACCACCGATGTGAGCATTAGAGCAGTATCCTTGACACCACCGATCTGAGCATTAGAGCAGTATCCTTGACACCAGAGACGTGAGCATTAGAGCAGTATCCTTGACACCAGATGTGAGCATGATACTGATGGGACTGTGTGTAACAGGCCCATCAGTATCAAGGCCCTCAGTGTGTCAGGGTCATCAGTAAGAGTATGAGGGCTCTCAGTGTGTCAGGGTTCCCTGCGAGTGTTTCAGAGTCATTTGTATTCACCTAGATGTGCTTGCGGGGGTTGAGCGCTGGTCTTTCGGCCCGTGTCTCTACTGTCAATCAATCAACTGTTTCTAATTTTTTTTCACCCCCCCCCCTTCCCCAGGAAGCAGCCCGTAACAGCTGTCTAACTCTCGGGTACCTATTTAGTGCTAGGTAACAGGGGCATCAGGGTGAAAAAAGCTGTCTATTTCTGCCTCCACCGCGGATCGAACCCGGAACCTCAGGACTAGGAATCCGAAGCACTGTCCACTCAGCTGTCAGACCCCTAATACACCTGTGTGTGTTAGGAAAAACCATCGTGTCTGTCAAGGCCCGATATTTGTTCAGGGCTACTTCAGTGCAGGTCTTGATATTTTAGGTGTCCTACTGTATTACGTACGGGAATATATCATTTAGACGACGAAGTTTTCAGAGTCGTGCTGATGAGAGGAAGGTTGTATCGATATGTTTTGCAAATTCTAGATTGTCAAAACAGATTGATTTGGTCTGCAACTCTGCAGTTAAGTGATATGACGGCCTTTTATCCACAAATATAACTTTTTCTTGTTCTCTTCTGGTGCCTGAAGTGTCTCTTCCATGCACACGAGTACCTAAACCTGATGCAGTACATGTTGTGACCTCCAGTACCAATGGTCATACGGTTTCTCCCTGTCGAGGACACAAAGCCTGTTGGGCTTTTCGAAGTTGCCCTTGGTCAGTAACTTTCCCCAGAACGCACACTACAATAATTGCCTTACAATGGATACAAATCACATCGTGCAGAACTTTTTTTTTTAACCTATGCAACCTAATAGAAAACGAGCTGTGTAATAGTCTTGTGTACGATTAGACCATTACCCCGTATACAGCTTAGTGCAACATGACTATTGACAGCGCACTACAACACACCGTGCCTTCCCCCACCACAGGTGCTGTACTACGTGATGAAGTTCGTGACGGTAGTGGGGTGCGTGGTGTCCGTGGTCAGCCTGACGCTGTGTGTCATATGCTTCTTCGGGTTCCGGGAGGTGCGGGGGAGGGCGAGCAGCGCCGTCCACGCCAACCTGTGCCTGTGTCTGCTGGGGTCTGAGCTCCTGGTGCTGGGGGGCCTCGACGCCCTCCACCGCCCTGTCGTGTGCACCGTCGTTGCTGCGCTGCTCCACTTCCTCTTCCTCGCCACCTTCACCTGGAGCGCTATTGAGGCCTTCCACATATACCTCAGTTTTGTCAAGGTGGGCGCCTCCGCGGCTTTGTTTACATGCCACACTGTTTAACCCTTCTAGTGCGCACATATTTCACTCGGGTACTTGTCATATGAGCAAGTATAAAACAATTTAGATTATGATTTTTTTTTAAATAATAGTTATTATGGAAAACAAGTAAAAAATATTTAAAATGAATTCTATATATTTTTTGGATATTCTTGGATATAATAATAATTATATCCAAGAAAATAGGGTATATGGAATTCATTTTAAATATTTTTACATTATATGATACTGATATTATATACAGACTATCATATTCATTAAAGTTCGATGATCATATATTGATTTTTATATAGAATAGTTTGCCTAATAAAGTATTTTCTCTTGTAAAATGATTTTTTTTTAATAAATTAATTTATATTCATTGCCCTTGAATATATATATATATATATATATATATATATATATATATATATATATATATATATATATATATATATATATATATAATATAATATAATATAATATTTACCCTTAACTCCTTGGTACGTACTTACTGATAGGTGAACAATGCATTAGATGATTGGAAATGCGCCCAACCATTTCTGTCCCGCCCAGAATTCGAACCCGGAATTCTCTATTGCAAGTCGATCTACTACCGGAACCCTAATAGTCCCTGTAGAGTAGTCGTGTATATTTATGGTACCAAGACATCGGAAATGGTAATAAATTTAGTTAATTGCATAAATTTGATCCGATTTTGCACAATCTTACCACGTTCTCCAACATTCTTACGAAATAACAAGACGTATTTTTATTATGTAATAATAGTCATATATTTCCAAGCTCCAAGCAACAGCCTATTGGATCAAGCTCTCAAAAGTCAAGCCTGGGCCCGGACTGGGCTTGGGAAATAGAAGAACTCTCAGAACCCTATCCAGGTACATAGCCAGAGGAAAGGTAAAGCTTGATAATTATGTAGATTTATAAGCAAAACACCATTTTCATTTGTCTGTAAAGTAAACAATATCATATGACGACGGCCTCGTGTAATGCACGTGAACCATTAAAATATTTATATATGGCCTGAATTTACGTGAGCGAGGCACTATCTCCCTAGTGGCCTCGAAAATGACAGGAAACCGACGTCTTGTCAAAAGTCCTCGCATTTGTCATTTTATTCAGCTTAATTTTGCATTGCAGCCATGTTTTGCCATTTACGGCTTTGACGGTTCGGCGGTTCCATAGGTTTGCTACTCCTTGGGGTGAAAAAACATCAACGCTGTAAAATGTTTTCCAGCTTACACTGTGGTTTGTTGAACTTGAAACTGTTGCTCCTTGTTTGAGTTACATCTGACCTTTAAAAAACGTGGTCTGGATCAATATTCTCCAAATTGTTCAGTATTTTATAAGTTTTGACGAGATCAAAATTGATGAGATTGCCATATCTGGTTTGCAGTGTCGTTAGCCTTATGGCCCCCTTAAATGAAATAACTTTGTGTCGAACAGTACGATACTAATACAATTCATATGTGACAGACATTTAAAGTAAAATATTGTAAAATGTGTATATGTGATGACTGTGGGCTGACGTATGTGTATGAGACAGGTGTGGAGGACGGGGATGGGCCTGGTCAAGTACTACATGTGTGTGGGCTACCTGGTGCCCCTGGTGTACGTCGCCATCACTCTCGCCCTCACCCACACTATAGGCTACGGCTCCCCAGGGACGTAAGTCACCACACTGCAGTCTCCCCTCCCTCTATTGATCCGTTTTTTGTTGGTTATTTTCATTTTTTTTTACTTTGTATATTGCTGAATATATTTAATGTTGTTAACTGTTAGCTATTATTTAGTCAATATTAATATATATAACGGGTTAACATTGTTTCTCATAGTGCGGCCTGTTATTTGCAGCATTTATAAATTTCGAATGTTTAAAAACTGTAGATTATATATTTTTTAAATTTTACTATATACTAGAATGGGTACCCGGATGTGCCTGGGTCTCCCCATCTCCTCTCTTTTTTTTTATCTCTCTATCCCTTCCCCCTCACCCATCTCATTTCTCTCTCCCCCATTCTTTTCCTCTCTCCAACTTTCTTTCCAGCATCCAACCCTCTCTCCCACTCTCCCGTCTTTCTTCCCTTCTCGCTAACACACCCTCTCTTCCCATCATACCCCTTCTCCCCGTCACTTATTATCCTCTCTCCGCCTTTCTCCTCTATCCAGACGTTTCTCCTTCCCCCATCTCTCTCCTCCTCCTCAGAGAAAAATGAATCACTGAAACTGCGGTGGACAACACAACCAATATTTCAGACTTGACTTCATGATATTCGTATGGGGAAGGGGAGGGAGATAAAAATAGCTGCCAGCATTTCTAGAAGTGTAGCACTGGAGCCGACCCCTATAGTGGCCTATGCTTAACACTCAGACCCCACATGTGTGGAATACACTCAGACCCCACATGCTTCATGTGTGGAAGTTGGGAGAGGCTATAGCTTCAGGCGTCTGGCCACACCAACCTCGGACAGATAGACGCAGACTAACATTCTCTTTTATAGATATTCTAGCAGGGACACCCGGCGTTGTCTGGGATAGTCTCTCTCCCACTACACCATTCCACCCCTCTTCTTTTCCTCTCTTTTCCACGTCCCAATACTTCATTTCCCCCCTACCCCCACTTTCCCAATCTTCTTCTCCCTTTCCCTCTTCGTCTCCCCCCTTTTCCATACCACCTTCCCAATTTTCCCCTTCTTCCCTCCTACCGACTCTCTTCTCCTCTTCATCGTCAGATAGACATTGCCATTTATATATAAAGTAAATCATAAACATGCGCGGGAAAACGGCGGGAGTAGTATTATATGGTCGGCACATCCTAGATTTAATTTAAAACTATGAAAATCGCACGGGGGGATATGGGTTACAGGCTATATGTCCTGAATCTTTTAACCTATACCTACCCTCGACCAGCCAATGTCCGTCCCATACCCCAGACCATTACCCCTACAAATTTGCATGAGACTATCCCCAAGCATCTGACCTCCAACTTTGGACAGACACATTCTTTAGATAGATATACACATTCACATACAACCAATCTACCCACACCTGCACCCTTTCCTTCTATCGCCGCAGCTCTGTCACGGGAACAAAAACAACTTGGGTATTAAGAAAATATAATTTGTGATGGAAATTTGATTCGGCTAACAAACCATTGCAGGTGTTGGCTGGCACCTCGCGGCCTCATCTGGACGTTCGCGGCCCCAGTAGCTGCCATCCTGCTGGTGAGTGTTGGGGCGCTCAACGGTGTCACACTCACCACTGGCCACAACATCTGCCCTCTTATACAGTCACGAGAACCTAGCAAACTCCTTGCTCCTTAGTACACTTAACCCCCCCCCCTTATACTCTAGTACACTCACCCCCCTTATACATTAGTACATCCACCCCCTTATACTAGAAAACCCATTGCTGTCTGGCCCACACGCCCATGGCTATCTAAAATACCTTTTCCCATTTGTAATGAGGAAATGAGTGTTTTACACTGTATTGTAATGTTTTATTAATGTTAAAAACAAATATATTTCTAAGATCGTAATCAAGCTTTCTTTATAACTATTTTCGATTCTGATTTTGTTTTAATTATTTCGTCTTCTTCCTCAAAGGTAAACATTTCGGCATTTGTGATGACCGTGCGGGCTGCTTGGTGGAAAAAGAGCCCCGAGGACTCCCGTCGGGGTAAGAAGTGGTCCGAAAACTTTTCTCATCGCAAGAAGGGAGCTGGGGACACCAACCGGCTGGAGAGTGGAGCTGAGGACACCAACCAGCTGGAGAAGAAGGCTGGGGACACCAACCGGCTGGAGATGGGAGGTGGGATTAGAAAAGGTGGTAAGAATTGGCGAGGACTAGACGAGGAGTTTAATGGTACTATTGACCACGAGAGGCGGTCTGTGGACGCTACAGAGCACGAGAGGCGGTCTGTGGACGCTACAGAGCAGGAGAGGCGATCTGTGGTCACTACAGAGCAGGAGAGGCGGTCTGTGGACGCTACAGAGCACAAGAGACGGTCTGTGGACGCTACAGAGCACGAAAGCCAGACTGTGGACACTACAGAACACGAGAGGCAGTCTGTGGACACGATCAAGCACGAGAGGCGGTCTGTGGACACGATCAAGCACGAGACGCGGTCTGTGGACACGATCAAGCACGAGACGCGGTCTGTGGACACAATAAAGCACGAGAGGCGGTCTATGGATACAATAAACAACGGAAAGGAGTCTGTAGACACGGAGAAACGCTCGTGGGACAGCAAACGTGGGTCGGGAAGTGGAGCCAGTAAGCGTTGCCAGCAGCAGCAGCAGCCTAGTGAGGACACTGGAGAGAGAGCGGGTCTAGGCAGGAGGTTCTGCAGCTCCATCACTGTCCTCCTCCTCTTGTGCCTCACCTGGCTTACAGGCTTTCTCTATTTTACTGAAGGTAAAAATGCTAAATAAGGTTTAAATTGGAATAACATGTGATTGATGGAGATTAAGCCACCCAAGAGGTGTCACGGGTATGAGTAGCCCGTAAGGGAGTAACATTTCCCTTTCTCTCATTATTTCGTAACTGCCCTCAAGAAGCTCATCTTCGCCTCACTGACCTCAAAGCACTTTCACCTGTCTAACTCCAACCCACTTTAAGAAAATCCACTAGATCAGTGGATTTTGCCTAGTAGATCCACTAGGCAAAACATGTCATGGTGGTCTAATGGTAGAGTATACGGCTTGGCAATGCCAAAATCGTAGGTTAGCGCCCACCTCATTGCCCTACTGAATTTTCTCAATGATCCAACCCACTTTCTTGTGGATTCCCATCTCCTATGCCAGGTAAGCACGACGGACTCACCATAGCCTATGCTGTTTGCAACTTTTGGTTCCCGGTAGCTGAATCTAAAAACAAATTCTTGTGGGTTGGAGTAAAGAATGGGTAAAGTCCTCGCAGGTCAAACATCATTTAAAATTAAATTATATCCTACCCCCAAAAAACTATTATATCTACATCATGACTGAACATTGGCAGTGGTGTGTCTATGTATGAGAATAATTTTTTTTTAAGATTAATTTATTTATTTACAACAAGGTGTATTGGGTTTTTGAGCGTATATAACATTGGTGTTTTTACATTCTTGCAAAGCCATTAAGACGCATAGCGTGTTAATGGCTTTGGTTAAAAGGTTATATTGCATTTAAACACAGAATCCTTTAGTATATTACAATGAAGAATGCTTGTAGTATTTTTCATTTCCTACAGCTGCAATATTTTGTTAAAACAAACTGTAATTTTTAAAACAATGAAACTTTAAATCTGTGAAAGAATGAAAACTAATCTAACATTTTCCCCCCTTCGCTGCCTTCATCAGGCACTCTCGCCGTGGCAGTGATGTTCACTCTGCTCAACTCTGTGCAGGGCGTCGCCATCTTCCTCCTCCACGTCGTCTTGAACGAGCATATCATGCACGAAGTCCGGGGTGTCCTCAAGTAGGAGAGTGGTGGCAGGTAGGCTACTGTGTCCTTGTGATGTAGCAGAGTGGTGGTAGGTAGGCTACTGTGTCCTTGTGATGTAGCAGAGTGGTGGTAGGTAGGCTACTGTGTCCTTGTGATGTAGCAGAGTGGTGATAGGTAGGCTACTGTGTCCTTGTGATGTAGCAGAGTGGTGGCAGGTAGGCTACTGTGTCCTTGTGATGTAGCAGAGTGGTGGTAGGTAGGCTACTGTGTCCTTGTGATGTAGCAGAGTGGTGGCAGGTAGGCTACTGTGTCCTTGTGATGAAACAAGGTGGTGGTAGGTAGGCTACTGTGTCCTTGTGATGAAACAAGGTGGTGGTAGGTAGGCTACTGTGTCCTTGTGATGTAGCAGAGTGGTGGTAGGTAGGCTACTGTGTCCTTTGTGATGTAGCAGAGTGGTGGCAGGTAGGCTACTGTGTCCTTGTGATGTAGCAGAGTGGTGGTAGGTAGGCTACTGTGTCCTTGTGATGAAACAAGGTGGTGGTAGGTAGGCTACGGTGTCTGTGTGATGTAGTGAAGTGATGATCAGTAAGCTACAGTGTCCTCTGTAAATACAGGAATTATTTACAATTATAAAATTTATTGACGAGTTGCAGGGATAATTCCAAGAAGTGACTATAATATCAACAAAAATCTCATTTAGTAGCTATAAATTAATCTCGTAAGAAAAAAATGTTTGTATACTTAACTGATTATAATATCTTTAGTAAATTTTTTCTAATTTTATCTGGTCACACAGAATTGTATAAAACGACAGGTGAAAGTTGGTGAGAAGAGAGGGAGTGAATCTCTATTTACCACAAACATTTGTTTGACTTAACAAAATATTATACATTGAAAGGCAGGTGAATAGTCCTGTGAAGTTATTCAAAAAGATGTCAACATTACTTTTTTTTAACCTAAATGTTAATATAAATATTTATGAAGGCATCTTTTTTATTTGCAAAGAACAAATGGTAGAAAGATTAAAATGTGCAAATATAGATAATTAGTAAGTGGAAATGCACAGTCGTAATAAATCATAGGAGTGAATAAGAAAATCAACACTAACAGCCTCACTCCTACACGAGTATTCTACACATGCGGCTTTCTGCCCTATTATTGTAGACAAGATTTACTCACAGCCCAATAACGGAAATGAGTGAAAGAAAGTAATTTAACAGGTGCTTCATGATTTTCGTTTCCTTTCAGACCCCAGTGTTTATTCCGAGGTCCACCAACACCAGGAACGAACCGTTCCAGCAGCGGACTCTGTGGCTTGGTGTCGGGCTTAAGGCCTATCAACCTCTGGAAGGTTACCAGGACCACTGCGATAGCCTACTGACCAACTAGCACATTTGGTGTCGGGTTTAAGGCCTATCAACCTCTGGAAGGTTACCAGGACCACTGCGATAGCCTACTGACCAACCAGCAAGTTTGGTATCGGGCTTAAAGGTCTATCAACCTCTCATTGGGCTGTTAACCACCACAAGAGCTTAATGACCATCCAGCAAGTTCGGTGTTAAGGTGAAGGCCTATCAACCTATAGAGAAGGTTATTAAGGCAACCACAATACCTTACAGATCATCCAGCAAATACACTTTAGTCCGAAACATAGTCCAGGACTAAAGTTAGCATTCACTGTGATATATACTCAGTATCGTCCAAGGTGTTAACTGCCATACTCGAGACGATATTAGTGACCTACTTCGTCGTTCTTCCTGAAATAATAACTTTAACGGAGAAAGACATACAGCGCTACGTTAATGGCCTGACTAAAAACAAAACGGTAATTTTGACGTAAAGTGAAATTACACAGAGCAGTGTTGCGAGTAGCGAGAACAGTGACTAGTGTAGTGTAGTGTGATAGTGACTGGTGTAACAGCATAGGACCTGTCTCTCTCAACTAATACATCTCATTTTGTACGTGCGTTACTTTTGTATTTTGTACGTTGTTGCAAATACAGAAAACGATCTGGATGGTGACTGGTGTAACAGTACAGTGTGGTGTGATGGTGACTGGTGTAACAGTACAGTGTGGTGTGATGGTGACTGGTGTAGCAGTACAGTGTGGTGTGATGGTGACTGGTGTAACAGTACAGTGTGGTGTGATGGTGACTGGTGTAACAGTACAGTGTGGTGTGATGGTGACTGGTGTAACAGTACAGTATGATGGTGACTGGTGTAGCAGTACAGTGTGATGGTGACTGGTGTAACAGTACAGTGTGGTGTGATGGTGACTGGTGTAACAGTACAGTGTGGTGTGATGGTGACTGGTGTAGCAGTACAGTGTGGTGTGATGGTGACTGGTGTATCAGTACAGTGTGGTGTGATGGTGACTGGTGTAACAGTACAGTGTGGTGTGATGGTGACTGGTGTAGCAGTACAGTGTGGTGTGATGGTGACTGGTGTAACAGTACAGTGTGGTGTGATGGTGACTGGTGTAACAGTACAGTGTGGTGTGATGGTGACTGGTGTAACAGTACAGTATGATGGTGACTGGTGTAGCAGTACAGTGTGATGGTGACTGGTGTAACAATACAGTGTGGTGTGATGGTGACTGGTGTAACAGTACAGTGTGGTGTGATGGTGACTGGTGTAGCAGTACAGTGTGGTGTGATGGTGACTGGTGTAGCAGTACAGTGTGGTGTGATGGTGACTGGTGTAACAGTACAATGTGGTGTGATGGTGACTGGTGTAACAGTACACTGTGGTGTGATGGTGACTGGTGTAACAGTACAGTGTGGTGTGATGGTGACTGGTGTAACAGTACAGTGTGGTGTGATGGTGACTGGTGTAACAGTACAGTGTGGTGTGTTGGTGACTGGTGTAACAGTACAGTGTGGTGTGATGGTGACTGGTGTAACAGTACAGTGTGGTGTGATGGTGACTGGTGTAACAGTACAGTGTGGTGTGATGGTGACTGGTGTAACAGTACAGTGTGGTGTGATGGTGACTGGTGTAACAGTACAGTGTGGTGTGATGGTGACTGGTGTAACAGTACAGTATGATCGTGACTGGTGTAGCAGTACAGTGTGATGGTGGCTGGTGTAACAGTACAGTGTGGTGTGATGGTGACTGGTGTAGCAGTACAGTGTGATGGTGACTGGTGTAGCAGTACAGTGTGATGGTGACTGGTGTAGCAGTACAGTGTGATGGTGACTGGTGTAGCAGTACAGTGTGATGGTGACTGGTGTAGCAGTACAGTGTGATGGTGACTGGTGTAGCAGTACAGTGTGATGGTGACTGGTGTAGCAGTACAGTGTGATGGTGACTGGTGTAGCAGTATAGTGTGATGGTGACTGGTGTAGCAGTACAGTGTGATGGTGACTGGTGTAGCAGTACAGTATGATGGTGACTAGTGTAGCAGTACAGTGTGATGGTGACTGGTGTAACAGTACAGTGTGATGGTGACTGGTGTAGCAGTACAGTGTGATGGTGACTGGTGTAGCAGTACAGTGTGATGGTGACTGGTGTAACAGTACAGTGTGATGGTGACTGGTGTAGCAGTACAGTGTGATGGTGACTGGTGTAGCAGTACAGTATGATGGTGACTGGTGTAGCAGTACAGTATGATGGTGACTGGTGTAGCAGTACAGTGTGATGGTGACTGGTGTAGCAGTACAGTGTGATGGTGACTGGTGTAGCAGTACAGTGTGATGGTGACTGGTGTAACAGTACAGTGTGATGGTGACTGGTGTAGCAGTACAGTGTGATGGTGACTGGTGTAGCAGTACAGTGTGATGGTGACTGGTGTAGCAGTACAGTATGATGGTGACTGGTGTAGCAGTACAGTGTGATGGTGACTGGTGTAGCAGTACAGTGTGATGGTGACTGGTGTAACAGTACAGTGTGATGGTGACTGGTGTAGCAGTACAGTGTGATGGTGACTGGTGTAGCAGTACAGTGTGATGGTGACTGGTGTAGCAGTACAGTGTGATGGTGACTGGTGTAGCAGTACAGTGTACTATACGCAAATATCAGCAGGTGTTGCTCCGGATGAACATTTTTTTATCACAAATAAAAGTAATAAACTATTGCAAAATATGGCTTTATTTTTTTTTACTTGTACCTCATCCTCATATGTTAACCAAAGGGAATATAAACTTATCTGTTTATATTGCTTTAATACCTTTTGATGTCAGACCAAGACTGCCACGAGGGGTCACCAAGACTGCCACGAGGGGTCACCAAGACTGCCACGAGGGGTCACCAAGACTGCCACGAGGGGTCACCAAGACTGCCACGAGGGGTCACCAAGACTGCCACGAGGGGTCACCAAGACTGCCACGAGGGGTCACCAAGAATGCCACGAGGGGTCACCAAGACTGGCACGAGGGGTCACCAAGACTGGCACGAGGGGTCACCAAGACTGCCAAGAGGGGTCACCAAGACTGCCAAGAGGGGGCCACAATTCCTACAATAATGCCGCTACAGAGAGAAAAATTACACTGCACATAGAGAGAGAGAGAGAGAGAGAAAAAGTTCTTTCCCACTGGAAAACATACCATATATTATTCCAAAGATATAACCCTTGTTATATCTTCGTTATATATATATATATATATATATATATATATATATATATATATATATATATATATATATATATATATATATATATGTCGTACCTAGTAGCCAGAACGCACTTCTCAGCCTACTATGCCAGGCCCGATTTGCCTAATAAGCCAAGTTTTCATGAATTGTTTTTCGACTACCTAACCTAACCTAACCTAACTTTTTTTGGCTACCTAACCGAACCTAACCTATAAAGATAGGTTAGGTTAGGTAGGGTTGGTTAGGTTCAGTCACATCTACGTTAATTTTAACGCCAATAAAAAAAAATTGACCTCATACATAATGAAATGGGTAGCTTTATCATTTCATAAGAAAAAAAATAGAGAAAATATATTAATTCAGGAAAACTTGGCTTATTAGGCAAATCGGGCCTTGCATAGTAGGCTGAGAAGTGCGTTCTGGCTACTAGGTACGACATATATATGTTATATATATATATATATGTTATATCTGGGTTCCGAAGGGAACCCTTTCCGATCACGGAGACATTTGACAAAAGCGAGTTAATGAGGAATCTTTAACAACACGGTCCCATAATAATGTCATTATTTAACAAAAATGTAATACTCTCCGACGGTTCGACTTACCTGCTTACAAGAGCTCTTGGATTAACCTCGGATTGTTGTTGTTGTTTTAGATTCAGCCACTCTGAACAAAAAGTTGCAAGTAGCACGGGCTATGGTGAGCCCGTAGTGGACTTACCTGGCACAGGAGCGGGGCTGTAACTCTGTAACCTCGGGAAGAATACGATACAGATGCCGAGCCTTGCCAAGCCAGGTGCTCGGTTACAGCGGCTGTGACTGTCACTTCACAGGTTAAAGTGATTGATTGATGAAGCTTAAGTTACCCAAGAGGTCAACGCTACCGTTTGGGTACACATTACTTCGCTTTTCACTTGTATGCGCTACGGCCTTTTTTGACAATGAAAAATAATTGAAAATAATTTTTGGATTTTTTTTTTTCCAAAACAGCAAGGGTCCTCTGGTAGGTTAGGAGGGCAGAAAGTTCTCCTAACGTTTCAAAAAGTCATGAAAACCTTTAATTGAAAGTTTCCTCTCCTAACCTAATAGCCAAAGCCAGAGGACCCAAAATAGAAAACGGACAATGTCACTCGTGGGTTGATTTCATTTTGAATTACATCCTTTTTTTTAGCCTGAGTGCGCATACGAGCGAAAAGTGACGTAATTTGTACGAGGACGGGTTGGGCATGGGCACGAGTAGCCCGTAAGAGGTCAAAGTACAGTAAGTTTGAATATATAGCACTTGAAAAGAATGAGATAGACTAAGAACTTGAATACCAGGGTAGACAAAGTCAGTAATTACCTAAGTGTAGTTACAGGATGAGAGCTACGCTCGTGGTGTCCCGTCTTCCCAGCACTCTTTATCATATAACGCTTTGAATTATATAATTCAAATCAGTGTATGACTATAACACTTGGAAGGGATATGTGAACGTTCTGGCATGAAGATATAAAAACACACAAGAAAACTGCCTCCACATATTCACCATTACCCCAGCTTCCCTCCCACTTTTCCCCTTCTTTATCCTCTCTATCTCCTCCCACTCTTCTCTCTCATCTCCATTTTTCCCTATCTCCCTTTCTCCTCCCCTCCATCTCGAACACTCGGGTATTTTCATTTACATATGTAGATGGGGTACCCAGGTCCCTTCCCCCTCTCTTAGTTAGTTTAGTTCATTTATTATACACCCCATACCCATCTTGTGGGCGGTAGTGGAAGGGTTAGAGACACATAATGGGCTCAGGGACTGAACCCCACAATTCATTTAACTAAGCAAGTTACAATCTTGATGAGTTAGTTACAAAATTCAATATACGTAGTCACATTATCAATGGATTCGAGATCTACAAGTACAGTTTCTAAATTAAGCAACTGACATATGTGAAGAGCTAGTGTCACAATTGATATGTTTGTCCTGCACACCGCCCCCAATCCAGTGGGCAGCGGTGGATAGGTTACAATCACTTCGTTACTAACTTCAGTTAGCAAACTGGGGATATTTAGCTAAGATTTCTGGTAGCAGATCATTTTGAATGAAATAGTTACACATTTTTGGAACATTTGTTATAGAATTGTCTCCGAATTTGCGTTTCTTTTCGCACTCCATCACATAGTGACTGAGGGTGTGCGAATAATTTTGTTGACAGTTTACATTTGGTCAGGTCTACATCGGCAGATAATGAGAATTCCCAGAGATATTTGTAATCAAGTCTAAGCCGTGCAGTAGTAACATCTAGAAGTCTTCCCTCTCTTACGACCGTTTTCCCCAATTTTCACCCCTTTGACCACCCCCCCCTATTCGTTCTTTCTGTCGTCCTCCCACTTCCATTCTTGTCGATCAAGCCAGAACACAGAGAAGGCAAAAGTATGTCTTCGTCCTTCAAAGCATGAATCTTGCTGTCCCTCTCCCTCCCCCCGGTTCCAGTGATACAATATACTGTATTGTATTTCCATTCACACGGAAAGCCTCATCAAGCTGAATAAAAAACAAAAACATCGGATTACTTCAGCTACCGTAGACACCATAAACA